ATAGTCTATTACGGCTAGATCCTATTATATAACTCTATTTAGATATATATTCCTTATATAAGGAATATTATATATCTATTTATACCTGCCCTTTTTACACTCTTAATAGAGTCTCTATATTTAGTAAACTTTAAAGTTCTATATCTAGCGATAGTATAGAAGAGTTATAGTAACGAGTATATTAAGGTTACTAAAGAGGTTTCTTACCCTAGAACTCGTACTTCACGCTATTCTTAAAGGTAATTATAATAACCTTATTCTTTATATTAGTAAGTAAGTAGATCTTATCTATAACTATATAGACTCTCTTCTAGCTAATAATTAACTAGTTATTAATAGTAAGAGTCCTCTACTATTTCTTCCTTATACTAAGACTATATACTATCTAGTAAGTATTAAAGGCCTAGTTATTAGTACTAAGTCTTATACTAATTAAGTTATTAATTATACTCTTATATATCTTATATTTAAACGTATATCGCGGAATAGTAATAAGTTTATCTACTACCTTATTCTTTCTATTAATATATAATCTCTAGAATATATAGATCTTATATATCTTCTCTTTATCTTCTATAATCTTATTCTATTTACTATCTATAGAATCTACTAGAGAAGAAGTAGAAGAAGAAGAAGAAGATAGAGATAAAGAGATAGATAGAGGAGTAGATATAGACTCCGGAGGCGCTGAAATATTAATAATATATAGTTTTTTTAGCGCCGCGGTACGTTTACGAGCTTATTTCTTTATTATTACCCTTATAGTAGTAGCCTCTACTAATTTAGTAGTAGATTTATACTAATAAGAAGGAGAAGAAGAAGGAGAAGGTTTAACTAACATGTCTATTATAAACTAAATACTTTAAGTAGATTTTTTTAATCTAGAGAAGGGTATATAGATAAAAAAATATATAGAGACTTAATACTAAGTATATTAACTAATATTTAATAGTATATATATATTTAGACCTTATATAGCGGTAAGTATATAATAAAATACTAGAATATATCCGTCTCACGTAAATTTGGGTAGGAGAGACATAGCGCAATATCCGAATGCCAAGAGAGTCAGGTTCTAGGCAAACGACGAATAGTATTGGATACTCGGGGTTTTGGGATGCGCCAGCTACCAGCGCAGTTGTACCATAAGCAGCTGGCATGGCACTTTTGTAGATTGAGCGCCAGAGACAACTATTCAAGATAGCGATGTTATTAGAACCTCCTGAGTCTGTTATAGTATGCTTGTTGTCTGTCGTGCAGGTAATAATATCTGTAGCCTTATTACCAAGCTAGGCGGACTTTTTGCACAGGCCCGGCCAGGTTCCTGCCTGAGGCCAGTACAACCTGGGAATCAGCCAGTTGTGTGTACATCATCGCGTCCCTGGCGATTACGCTTCTCACCATCTCTCCCCAACACCATCTCTCTTCCACCACACTTCTTTCATCGCCATCTACGCCTTCGACACATTCCTTCCACCCACGCCTTTACCGAATTCCGTCTCTCTGTCTTCTTGCTACCGCCTCGCCCCATAAGGTAGCCTGCGAGTTCTGCGTGCCTCCCGTCACGAGCTCCAAGCTCTATTCGCTTCGGCGTCCTTCTATCACTACTACCTTTCGCACCCTCCTTCGCACAACGAGACATGGCTGCTGTACTCAGCCCTAGCTCACATCGAAACTCTGGTAGCTACGTCAATATGGGTAGCTTGTCTTCAGCTGCCGGCCTCGTCGGCTTCCTCTCCGAGCATGACGCCGCACTCAGGTCTTTCGCTCTACAAAAGCTGAACGAAGAGATCGATCTGCTCTGGCCTGAGGTCGCAGGCTCTGTCGGCCAGATTGAAGCTTTGTATGAAGACGAGTCGTTTCCAGAACGTGAGCTAGCTGCTCTTGTCGCGGCGAAGGTGTACTATCATCTTCAAGAATACAATGAAAGTATGGTCTTTGCTCTAGGGTCCGGCAAGCTCTTCAACTTCAACTACCCAGGCGAATTTGAAGAACGTATATTAGGTGTGTATTTCTCTCAGCCTGCTGATGCAGTCGATGATTAACGCAAGCCAGCAAAATGTCTTGATACGTACATCGCCCTATCAGCCATGCACAATCCACCCGCTCCGGCGAGCCGAGTCAGCGACCCTCCACCTCAACTCACAACCCATTTCCCAGCCAATACGAGTGGAGGTGCGAGCACTGCGGCCAGCATGACTTCCCCCACCACACCATTTTCCCAGTCGACTCTTCCATCGAAATCCTTGCTCTCGCGACAGGACTCAAGCACCTTTGATGCTTCGCAGCCAGGGGGTGGTAACGCAGGAGTTGCTGGTGCGCATCCCTCTCCTTTAATACTTCAGCGTAGCGTGCAAAAGAACCTTCAAGCCATCATCAAGAGGATATTTGAGAGCTGCTACCAAGATGGTGACTACAAGCAAGTTGTCGGGATTGCCATCGAGGCACGCAACCTAAACGTACTACGCGAAGCTATTTTGCGCGCCAGTCAAGATGAGAAGAGAAGTAAGAAGGTTCAAGGAGGACCGAGTAAGAGTGCGGAGCTGATGGAGTATGTGCTGGATATCTGCATGAACGTAGTCCAGGAGCGTGGGATTCGAACGGAAATCCTCCGCCTGATCCTGGACCTCTTGAACGAAATCCAGAATCTGGATTACTTCTCAATCGCCAAGTGTGTCGTTTACCTTAATGAGCATTCGATGGCTTCCACCCTCCTGCAGTCACTAGTCAAGAATGGAGATGCACGATCGTTGGCCATCGCTTACCAAATCTCGTTCGATCTGTATGACAATGGGACCCAGGAATTCTTGGCCAATGTGATGGAAGGTCTGCCGGATACAGGAGATAAAGACGAGAAAGTCATGGGAACCGCGAACGGCAGTATTCCTGAGCTAGCCCCTGAGCCGAAGGAGACAGATGGTCTTCTTGCTGGCCAAGAAAGTAATGGAGATGCGCCTTCCACTTCTACAATCGCTAATCGACCTAAAGAAGATATACTTTCTGCAGAGAAGAAGAAAGCTTTCTCGTCAATACGATATATTCTACGTGGCACCAAGAGCATCGAGCTCAATCTCGAGTTCCTCTACAGGAATAATCATGCGGACAAAAACGTTCTCAACAAGGTCCGTGATAGTCTCGAAGCACGGAACTCAATCTTTCACACCGGTGTCACCTTTTCAAACGCCTTTATGCATGCTGGAACTACAAACGACAGCTTTTTCAGAGATAACTTGGAGTGGTTAGGCAAGGCCGTCAACTGGTCGAAGTTCACGGCCACAGCTGCATTGGGGGTGATACACAGAGGCAATATCACCCAAGGACTAAAACTTTTAGATCCATACCTGCCAAAGGAGACCAGTGTCGCAGGCTCCTCGTACAGCCAGGGCGGCTCTTTGTATGCCCTTGGCCTGATATACAGCAACCACGGTACCCACGTCTTAGAATACCTCAAGCAGCAATTCGAAAAGGCATCAGAAGAGGTCGTCCAACATGGAGGTGCCCTTGGGCTGGGTGTTGCTGGCATGGCGACTGGAAATACGTCCATACTCGAGGCATTGACGAACGCACTTCACACAGACTCCGCGATCAGTGGAGAAGCTGTGGGTCTGTCTATGGGTCTTGTCATGCTAGGTACAGGCAATATTAAGGCGCTTGAAGATATGATCAGTTATGCACACGACACCCAGCACGAAAAGATCGTCCGAGGGTTGGCTCTCGGAATGGCCTTGATCATGTACGGCAGACAAGAAGCTGCCGATGAGCTCGTGAATGGTCTGTTGGACGAGCCAGACCCGACTCTAAGGTATGGTGGCATCATGACCATCGCACTAGCATATGCCGGTACAGGAAGCAATAAAGCTGTGAGGAAGCTGTTGCACGTTGCCGTGAGCGATGTCAGTGATGATGTCCGCAGAGTGGCAGTGATGAGCTTGGGTTTCGTTCTCTTCCGCAAGCCCGGCAGCGTCCCAAGGATGGTGGAGCTCCTCGCTGAGTCGTACAACCCTCACGTACGTTACGGTGCAACAATGGCACTTGGGATTGCGTGTGCTGGAACTGGTTTGGACGAAGCCATTGATCTCCTCGAACCTATGATGAAAGATTCAACGGATTTTGTGAGACAAGGTGCATTGATCTCCTTGTCAATGATTATGATACAGCAGAACGAGGCAATGAATCCAAAGGTTGCCACAATCCGAAAGACCTTGACCAAGATCATAGGAGACCGTCACGAAGACGCAATGGCCAAATTTGGCTGCGCTTTGGCACTCGGTATAATCGATGCTGGGGGCAGAAACTGCACAATCGGGCTTCAGACTCAGACCGGCAATCTCAACATGACTGCTATCGTCGGAATGGCTGTCTTCACCCAGTACTGGTACTGGTTCCCGTTGACGCACTTCATCTCCTTGAGTTTCACTCCTACAGCCATCATTGGTCTTGACCAAGACATGGATATTCCTCAGTTCAAATTCCATAGCGCGACGCGTCCAAGCATGTTTGACTACCCACCCGAGGCTGAAGTGAAGGCAGAAGAAGCGCCCGAGAAAGTGAAGACGGCAGTACTGTCGACTACTGCACAAGCCAAGCGGAGGAAGATGGTGAAGGAGAAGGAAGAGAAGAAGAAGAGACGTGAGAGCATGGATGTTGATCCGGCGCCAACAACACCCAAGGCATCTGCAGAGGACGACAAGATGAACATTGACGACGAGCCGAAGAGTAAAGACGACAAGGCTGATGGTGAAAAAGAGATCACACCGGCAGTGGAGTCCGCCAAGAAGAGGATAGAAAAGGAAAAGGTCGGGTACGAGCTGGGCAACATGTCTCGTGTACTTCCGGCTCAGGTGAAGTACATTAGCTTTCCTGAGCAGAGGTACCAGCCTGTCAAACCTGTAAGTCCTCATATATATATGTGAAATGATCTATATGTTACTAATTCGGGCGTAGCCTTCTGGCGGAGTCGTACTCCTCACAGACACCCAACCATCGGAGCCCAAGTCACTGTTAGAGCTCAGGGTCAAGAAGATGACGGCAGCACCAGCGCCGGGAGCTCCAGGCCAAGCACAGACGGATCGCGCTGCAGCAGATCCGTTCTCGACACCCGTGCGTGGTGCTGAAGGCCGAAGCGGTGCCGCAGAAGCTGCCGGTGTCCTGACGGCAGAGGATGAGGACGACGAGGACGAGGACGAGGAAGGTGTCGAGGCAGAGGTACCAGGGGATTTTACCTACATCACAGACGGGGAAGATGAAGATGACGACGACGAGTCGTCATAGAAGAAGAAGAAGAAGAAAACAAGAAGCAGAAACAGACTCGGTCCTTTTCTTGTAACCATAGAAATCTCGCCCCCTGGTTTTTTTTTCTGAAACCGGTACACATGGCATCGCTTACCTTGTTGACAGCATATGTCGTTCTTGTCTCTTCTGCATGATTGCGGCGTCGTGTGTCTGTGCATGCATGATGTTGGCTGGACAGGCAGGGCAGGGCAGGGCAGTGGTGGCTCTGCACCCGGGACCCGGGACCCGGGACCCGGGGATCTGGCATAGTGAATCGTCCAATTAGTAGTAGACTGTGACTGTAATATAATCCCATCAAGTTTATCATTATATATATATGTCGAGGATTCCGTTTCGACCACAATTGAATTGGTCCTTCTGTACGAGCATGACAAACAGCATCATGTTGTACCTGGCTGGCAGAAGAGCCACGGCCTGATGATCACTTGGCATGGTACAACATATGGATAAGGGAGTTGCGTTTATTCATGATTTGTCTATTGTGCAAACACACACACACACAGGCACCAGTCAAGTTTCTTTATCGATCGATGTATTATTTACTCTGATCTACGGACAAGACATTAATCATTAGGTCGTTGTAGGCCAATAACATGGAAGTCGGTCCCACACGTCTTGCAATCATCCATAATTACCGCCCTTCTTCTCACGCTCCCAGTCCTGCAACCAAGACTTGACAAAGGACCTTTCATAGGATTGGGCCTTCTTCACCGGTTTAGGGGGCAAGTCAGCCGTGGTCTCGTTCTTGAACAGCCCGTTCTCGTCCCAGTGGTGCACAGCGAGGCCAGCAATGACCACGAACGGCTGTTCAATGGTGTTTTGCCTGGGAGGAGCCACGTCGGCGTGCGGCGTGGCCTGCTTCCATGGGTCGGCTTCTCCGTCGATGATGGCGAGACGGGGGTATGAAATGTTGAAGCCGCCAAATTTGTTGATGGCCTCGACGTCGGACGGCTCCGTAATGTTGAAGGCGTACTTGCAGATGAGCGATGAGTATGGAATATCTATCAGGCGGGAGATGAGGGGTAGTTGAGTGGCGGGCACGCCACTTCCAGTCTGGAGGTAGCCCCACTGGGTGCAGTATTGATATGGCCAAAGGCGCCACTCATCGTGAATGCTGTCTTGCTCGTAGAATGTGACATTGTAGTTGCCAAAGCACGCGTCTTGGGATCTGCCTGACTTCGTGCAGGAATCGACACGAGTGAGCTTCGTGTAGCCAATGTAGTTTAGCATGGCAGTGGTCAGATTGCCCGGGTTGTATCCAGTGCTGTTGATTGTTTGTTCGACAGTCGATCGGAGAGACTCGGTCTCGGGGTATAGAACATTCTTGGACGTGATATTGTTGCAATACTTGAAGAATTCATCGTCCGAGACTTTCGGGTCCCAATTGAGACTCTGCCAGTTAGTAACGCCAGCGCTCAGTGCATTGGCGAAATCATCGTCGTGGGTAATGTTAGCCATGTAAAACGTCTTCTTCAACTGAGAGATTGCACTGGAATCTTTCTTCAACAGGACAGTGTCGACGACAGCAGTCAACTCCTGTGTTGCCAAAACGCAATCCTTTGGACCGTAGTTTCTCTGGGCCTCATAGTACTGCCAGAAGTCGAAAATGGCCTCAGTCACACCGGACGAGCTGATAGCGCCCCAGAACAGGTCTGGGTATGTCACACGGAGGAAAGCGACGAAAGCGCCGGCATACGAGCCTCCATACAAGATCCATGGGTTTTTGGGAGCAGTCAGATCGAGATGCTCGAGTCCAGGAAACTTGATATTCCGGGCGAAGAAAGCAGTGTCGGCCATGGCCTGTTCATGGGTTAACCATCGGAGATTTTCAGTCGAGAAGTCCTCGGTGGGAATGCTGGTTCCATAGTACCGGTGCTCAAGCACGACAGCAATACCGTTATTAGCTTGCGCCAACTGAGCAATCAAGCCCTTTTGAAGGAAGGGCAAACGGCCAACACCGCTGGTCTCTCCTGAAGCCAGGACAAAGATTGGGCCGCCCTCTTTGTAGTGAGAGGCATCGAACCAGTACCGGTTGGGGAAGACGCCATCCGAGTGAGGCTCGTACGCGGTGATGTTATGGAAGTGGTCAATTGGAATAGAAATCGTATGCTCCGGGTACAGGTCCGTAGGTTTGACAGCCTCGCGCTTCGCGAGAGCTGTGCCAGACTTCTCAGCAGGTCAGCATCTGTTTGTGCCGCTGGAGAGGTTTCTGGATTCCTACCTTGAGTAGATCACCAATCGAGACACCGGCCTGCTGCCATGCAGCGACAGCGTTGAGGAGCAACAGTAAAGCAGCTACAGGACGGAAAGCCATGACTGGAGTAGGAGACGAGCACCGGTAATGGCGGCAGGAGGGCAAACGGTTCTCTTTAGTCCAAAGAGGGTCTCAAGCTACCAGGCCGCGGGCAACATGGAGCACCATGATACGGCATCATGGTGCATCACATATCATGGTGTATCCATGCGAATGAGCGGGGCGGCATGGGGAGCAATAGCAACATTCCTATCTCGGCAGATTGACAAGGGCGGAAGAGCGGCTGCGATGAAGCCACAGCCGGCTTGTCGCCATGATGCGAGTGTGTTAGTGTTGTTGAAGTTTGGTTGTTGAGTAATTAACTAGTATCGATGGCAGATCGTGCTCCGAGTTGATATTCATTTGAGAATTTGACGGCATCACAGACACCGGGCCGGGATCGCATGGTGATCAAAGCTCAAAGCTCGATGTGGTGATGGAGGGGGAGCAACGAGCTATCGACAGGATTGGAAGGTGCTCGTTCCGACGGGATAACCTCCTGCACGCGATCATATAGAATTTCGTTATTAAAAGCTTAAGAGTGTCTGCTGCTGAGGCGTAATCGTGTGTATTGTTGTGTGCATTAACGTATATATATACACAGAGGGATATGTGTATATTACATAATTAATTAATAATACCCGCTATATTCTTCCTCCCGTCATGTCCGAGTACGAGGGAGCCGTGCACGAGGCACAAATTCACCGCATCCGGCCTAGCGTTCTATACTTGGACCCTGGACAGCGGGATCTAAACAGCACCGCAGCTGTCAATACCGGCGATCATTCAAGCGTGCACGTGCAGTACTATCATTAATTACAACTACGACAGATACAACATGCAATGTCATATATGTACATAGTATGCTAAATGAATGTGCATATCCTATCATCACTCTCTGATAACAACTCATCTCCACCCGTGCCAGAACCTCCACCATCCCTTCTCTTGTCCGTCACCCTCTCGTCTGCTCTTCCGTGCCACCCTGAAGAAATACACCGGCACACCAGCCACCATGAAGCCCACAACAATCAATGTCTTGAACGGCTCCGCAAAGACCGCTCTGCTGAGCAAGAACAAGCTGACGCAGCAGAAGATGATTGGTGTTGTGATCCACGTCTTGTACGGCCGTTCCAACTTTGGCTCTCGCACACGGAGGACAATCAGTCCTAGCACCGTGAAAAAGTAGAATATATACCCTGCCACTCCGTAAAACGTCGTCAGCGCCTCAAACTCGCCTACCACCACATATACTGCTGCAAGGACTGTGTTGAGCAGCATTGCGTTGACTGGAGTGAAGAAAAGTCCTGCCTCGTCCGCCATCAGTCGCGCCACTATGCCTTTCGACCTCAATGTCCGCGACGATCCAAGACGGACCACCGTTCGCGATCCGACCCCAATCTTCCCAAATATCGAGGGGAGAAATCCTTCTTGGCCAGCTGCATAAGCTAAGCGGCCACTTGTAAAGCAGTTTGCATTGAGCGCCCCGAAACAGCTACCCGCAACTATCAATGCTAGGAAGAACGCGCCGACCGGACCAAACACTTTTGCCCCAAATGTGACTGCCACAGTGTTGCTCGATTCGATCACGTCCATCGGGAGAACGAAGAAGTACGCCACATTGGCTAGGATGTAGGACACGATGACGATTGGTATAGATGTATGGATAACGCGAGGAAGGTCCCTATGCGGGTTAACCATTTCACCCGTAACGTAGTTGACCTGCGCCGAGTTAGTTAAGAATGAGGAATCAGAAGAGTGGCAGAACTTGCATTATCCCATCCATCGAACGCCCACAGACCTGCGTATATAGCAACTGCCCAGTTCGAGACATCCTTGTTTGTACCTTCGAACCATCCGTGAGTCTTCCATTCGTCGCTAGGCTCTCCTTTCCATGTGAATCCCGTTGCCGCAACCACAATCCCAATCACAGTAACTCCGAGTAATGCGACGAACTTGAAAAACATGAACACGTCTGCGGACCGTGTGCCGAGCTTCGTAGAGACACAATTCAACGCTGTGACCAAGACCAACGCTCCCAGAGCAATACCCTTGCTGATCCATATGCTGGTCGCCATGGCGTCTGGCCCAATGACAGCTCTTACGATATACTCCCCAAATATTATAGCAACAATAGCGGCAGACCCTGGTTTGAGAACACATATGGCGCACCATGTGAATTCGAAGCCTGCGAGTTCGCCAAAGATTTTTGAAAGATATACCTGTGCGCCTCCGTTCAACGGAATAGCACCTCCCAGCTCAGCATAGCTGGCAGCTCCCGTCCAGGTAAGAAGCCCTGCAATGACCCATACAATGAGCGACGCACCGGGTGATCCCGCGTTCTTGTTCACCTGAGCTGGCGACGAGAATATCCCGGAACCAACGATGATCCCAATCACCAGTGACAGGCCATTCAAGTAGGTCAGGGTCTTGTTCTTCTCCAAAGAACCTCCGTTCAGGTTGTGTGTAGGGTCTAGTGACGTGGACGAGGGCGCGCCGAGTGCTGTATAGCCAACGGCTGTACTCGAGAGAGGAAAGAGGTTTGCGGAGAAGTCAAATGTTGAATTGACCGAGTACGATCGGTTGCGCGCCGCCGCTGGATTCCGTTCGGAGAGTGGATCTTCTTCGTCGAAGGAGAGCTTTCGTGAAGAGGCTATTCCCGACGCTGACGACTCTATTGAGCTGCGCGCAGAGTGTTCCGAGGACGCGAGAGATGCTAGCTCGAGGGAGTCTCGCGGCAAGTATTGAATGCGCGGCATCGTACAGTCGTAAGTGTCGTTATGCTACCGAATAATGAAAGACGTTACAGCCATTGTCTACAGCTATACCACAGGCGGATTTGCAACGAGTCTGGCTGCGTAGATAGGAGGCAGCTAAAACAGCTTGGTGTGTTTATGAATGATGAACTGATAGGGAAAGGACGTTCCAAGGTTCCAAGGTTAGACTAGACTGGTTCAGGACTAGACTGTGTTTCTAACTTACCAGCCAACTACCTTCATGTTTTCTTCATATTCAGTTTGTTTAGACATATCACCTATGATACCACACATTGACACAAATGGAAATTCCATGAATCTTTATAAATTTCATTGCGACAGCTACCGAGTGTCTACATCAACTTTGTCGCGTCAATCGTCTACCCAGATGCAGGCGTCCTTCGATACTCGATTTTCCAGGGCGATGACCCTGGATGAACGCCGAGTAGTGCCACCACGTGTGAAGATCATATACTAATCCTCGCTGTAGGGATATGAGGCCTAGAGAGCCAAAGATGGTGCACTACGTTGGGAGAAGGGTGGAATCTGTTCAGCATGTTAGCCATGTGTCAGACAGCACATCGCTCCAACGGTTGATCCGTAGGAATCGTACCTCCAACAGCAATGCCAAATTCGAATACAGGAACGCGTTTGAGGCCTGATTACCGTACTATAGTTATGGTCAAATTTATCAGCCGCCATGTGAGCAGAGCATTGTGATCTTATATGCATATAGGCTAAACTCTGCTCGCTGTTGGCTCCAGGGCCTCCCGGGTAGATCCAAGTCACAGTGCCATAGTGAGGCGTCTGCAGGTTTGGAAAATAGCTACGAAAGTCTATGCTGTCGCCGTCGTCACCACCTTCGTCGGTGTCAAGCCACTGCTGAGTTCCACGAAAGTACAAGTCTTTGCCACCGAGAGTCTCACGGTATACCTCTGAGTAGTCTTCCTCATCCGAGTCTAAGCAGGTTATCAAGTCATACTGAAGCTTGTGTGCCTTGGCGGCTTCGTAGAGTGCCATATCTACTCCTTTGAGCATATCCGGAAGCAGAGAATGCATTTTGTCGTTTGTGTGGGGGTAGGCGTGTGAACATACCACTCCGAGCTTACCACCTGCAGTCATGAAATCGGGACATCCAAGCAGATCTGCGAGCGATAAGTAGAGTGGAAGCTGCGTTGCGTCCATGGCTGTCGAACTGCCAGTTAAGAGTCCAGGACGCTGAGCAAGGTACAGATTGTAAGTTAGTGTAACGCGATGACCAGACTTTACTTCTTCGACCTCATGCTCGCAGTCACTGTAGAATGCAGCCCATTTGATGGTAGGCTCATCTTGATCACCTTGAGACCAGTCGAAGCGGACAGTCTCACCCTCGTGGCGAACAAGAAGGTCACCTCCTATATACAGCATTAGCAGGACTCGTGATATACTACTATTGGCTGCGCCACCTTGAAAATGCATTGGTAAAGCCACCACTAAACTTCCCACCTGACCATTACTCCTGGGCGTGTCGACGTGTGCCTTGAAGTGACCAGATGGACCGCTGTAGACGTTGAGCTTGTACAGCTCTGCGCGGACACCGCGATGTAGCTCAACCGATGGCAGTAAGAGCTGGTTGATGATTTCCACAATACCAAGGCCATGTGGGTCGAAGTCTGTCAAGAATTGACTCGTGTCAAGCTTGGTAGCCTTGCGGTACGTTTCGTCGATCACATCGCGGCCCTGATAGCCGAAGCTAGCAGGCTCAGTTGCTGAAATCAGTTGTTGGAATAGTGACGATTGCTCGCCAGTTGGGAACAGCAGAGCTTTGCCGCAACCCTCGAGACGAATGCAGATCGGGGGAGAGGAGCGCACATGATCGGCTTGTACGTTGCTTTCTTTGGTTTCGATGTCCGGGTTGTCTTCCTTGTGCTTGTTCTCTTGTCTTCCATCTGAAGCATCGGAAGCAGAGGTAGTGACTGGGATAGACCCGCCACATGCAAACATGGCACTTTTCGAAACAGCAGAGAATGTTCCAGCGAAGTTCTCGATCAACTGCTCGCTTGCCGGGTCAGCAGTAGTCGGTACTCCTTGGGTGGCCATGGTAGAGTGAAACTGAGTTGACTGTCGCTTTGGTGGTAAGAGGGAAATGGACTGGAGAAAGTGGTGATAACACTGTTAGGGAGAGGCGTACGGGAGAAAGATAGCGTTATATATACCAGGTAGCTGGGTAGTTGCCGTGTTCTTTCATGCCAGGCAACCATGTGACTTGCATCGCGAAGCGCGTCATGTCACATTCTTCGGAGAGGCACGGTCGTTTCTGCCTAGTCTGTACACCCAACATGGCCTGGACGAGATCCTGGAGATCAATCGCAGACTTCGCCAAATAGCGTGACAACTTGACAAGCTAAGGAAACCTGCCTCAGTCATTGGAATAGTTCAACAGGGTATCCGAGAGGCCCTACAAGCGATGCGACATCTGAAAATATTGATGGTACCCTTAGACAACAGACATATTCAAATTTCGAAGCGACGTTGAGGACAGGAATAAGAAATTGCCAAGAAAAGTACTAGACTTGACGATCCTAAACACCGACAATCTGCTGCGAAAGTCGAAATGCTCGCCATTGTGAAATGCCGACCGGGTATAAGTATAAATTGAAAGAGCCTGTGGCGACTGAGGAGACAAGATCCATTTCGGATATTTAGTACACAGTCAACGTGCATATAGCATCGTTCTCCATGACTTCAAAGATCAATCCTGGAAAACCGTAGAGCGTCGTTCGCCCAACTCCAGACCCCTCAGAACCTTCCATGTCTGATATTGAGGTCTCATTCATCACCCTTCTTCGACTGCTCGAGACCCCTTCTTCAAACCCGCCTAGTAACTCACAGCTGCTTCCAGGACTATCGCCCCAGCCTCGATTGATGGCCATCCCCCGTTGCATCAGCGCTTCCTCCTCGGGGTCAACGTAGAAACTTTTGAAGACTTGTTGCAGACGGTTCGAGGTATTTGAGAAGCTTAGCTCGGAGGTCAGGGGCTCCTCCCCTTTCTTCAAAGGTATGTGATCTATCGTCCATCGGCTGCGACGATGTCTATTGAACTGGTACGATCCGGGTATGTTGCCATGAAATATAATTTTCGTAGCAGTGAGTTGAGCAGCAGGTGGAGGTTCTTCATCAGAGCTTGTCATATCCCAACCACGATCTCTCCCATCTTGAGGTGACGGTGGGGGCTTATGTACGGCTTCAGATATCAGTATGTCGAACCCGTGTGAGTAGTAGTTATAGAAATGCTCGGAAGATGCTTCGCCGCTGTCAGGCCCCAGAGTTTCCGGGTCATCCTCCCAATCTGAAGAGTCATCATCTTCAGATTGCAGTGCAGACGAGTCAGCAGATACAGATAGTTGGCCGTGTCGCCCTGACAGGCCTGTGGATCTGTCTGATGCTTGACTATTTGTTCGTTCTTTGTGAATCGATAGTCTCCTATCACTCTTCCAGTGAATAGCATCGGGAGATCCCAGGTCCATAATGAGGTCCTGTGGGGTAGTCTCTCCAAGGATAATCTCGACAGGATGCCCTGACCGTCGCAGTAGATCCACTCTGCCAGGACCACGTACTTTAGCCAGCTCTATTTCTTCTGAACCCTCATCCTTAGTCTTCCCGCCGATCACATGCAATCGAGGCGGAGCCGGTGCTGTGAATAGTGTCTGCCTTGTTGATGGCCAGTCCTCGCCATTGAATAGAACCATAGAAGTTGCCGGTGATGCTGCCGACGACGACAGCAGCGGAATAAACTCTTTGTTTGGCGAGTAGGCCGAATCTCTGACTGGAAATGAGAACGCGATCCCGGGGTATGAAAGTACGTATTCTCCAGAAGCATGCGGCTCTTCAGACCTTGCTGGCGGTGTATACTCCCCGCCAAAGGTCGGTCCTAAAAGCTTGTCGTAGACATGTCGAAAAGTTGGACCTTTTGAGGGCAATAGGGCGGTCGAGTTGAGAGAAGAAGTATCGGTAATCTTCACGATCTCAACATCCTTGTACACAAGTCTAGTCTTCCAGAAGTCGTACACCTCTATCAGTCGCAGCCTTTGTTCCTTCCCATCAAACCTCAGGCGCATGCCATTCTTGGGTAGATTTATGGTGATGGGTTCGGCGATAGGGTTGTGGTGATCGAAGTAGATCTCGAAAGAAGGAAAGTTCGGAGGCGACGCCTTTATATGAGCAAGAATCTCATGGATAGTCGAGCCAAGTGCTATTTGGTCTTTAGTACGATATATCATATGTTATACACTCTAGAGGAGTAGCTACCGAAAGGACCGATGTAACGGTTTGGGACCACATGCATCGTGGTCGGACTCTTCGACGCCTCCATCACATATCAACTGGTAGGAGCTGTGTCGTTGTTTTAGGTTTGAGGTTTACGGCGCGGCAAGGGTTGTACGAAGCATTTAGATAGAATGAAAGCGGATAGTCACTGCCAAGTTGACGAGAGCGGTGTTTGACATGAAACATAATGAAGTCGCATTGTCTCAGCCGGCAATGCGGTCACCTGGTGTGAATGCTGATGGAGCTCAAAGCTCGAAACGCGGCGTCAAGAGCGGGAGGGGCAAGCGGACTCTCGGACTTAAGCGGCACCTCTCCATATGATGGAGCCTGCTCCCTAGCGACCAACAAGCTCATACCCAAATCGGGGTCGGGCCTGAGACCGGGACGTGCTAGTAGCTAATAAGGGTTTGTTATGTAAACACCCCAGTCTGTTTACTACTCAGTCCTTGTCATCTACATATTGTTAATCCTAAGTTAGACCACTACCACCACCACTACCACCTCCTCCTCCTCCACCGTGCTTCCATTTGCTTCGGCCCATAAAGCATAATGGTTGCACCACCGCGACCAGGCATGCCTGGAAAGAAATACAGTTCTATGCGCCCTCCCAGTTTCCGTCCTACCAACTCGCGCTCTCAATCCAGCACACCCGCTCCCACAGGTCGCGCATCTCCCGCAGATTCAATCGCCTCGACAGGTGCGTCTCGAACGCGATCGCCAGCAATAGCTGGAACAAAGCGTAAAGAGAGGGAGTTTGAAAATGATGCGGCGATCGAGACCAATATCAATGTGGTCGTGCGCTGTCGCGGACGCAGCGATCGAGAAGTCAAGGAAAACAGTGGTGTTGTTGTCTCCGCAAATGGCATCAAGGGGAACAGTCTGGTACTATCAATGGGGCCCAGCGCTCTCAGCAACAAGACCTACCACTTTGACAAGGTCTTCTCGCATGCAGCCGATCAATGTACGATATATGACGAAGTAGTGGCGCCTATATTGGACGAAGTAAGCTCGTATAGACTCTCAATGATGCCTGATTGATGATTAATAATCTGTGTCAGGTTTTAGAAGGCTTCAATTGTACAATTTTCGCGTATGGACAGACTGGTACAGGCAAAACATACACCATGTCCGGAGACATCTCAACCATCCTGCCGCTTCCCGACTCTGCTGGTATCATTCCTCGTGTTCTATACTCTCTGTTCGCGAAACTCGATGGGGGAGACCATGAGAACGCCGTCAAATGTTCGTTCATTGAACTGTACAACGAGGAACTCCGAGACCTTCTTTCGGTAGAAGAAGGTTCAAAGCTGAAGATATACGAAGACAACTCACGGAAAAGCCATCATGGGACCCTAGTTCAGGGCATGGAAGAGACGTACATCAAATCCGCTGCTGAGGGTATTCAGCGCCTACAGAGCGGAAGTCATAAGCGACAGGTGGCTGCAACCAAATGCAACGATCTGAGCTCAAGAAGTCACACTATATTCACCATCACGGTTCTCATCAAGCGGCCTTCGGATACAGGCGGAGAGGACTATCTTTGTACCGGTAAACTAAATCTGGTTGATCTTGCAGGCAGCGAGAATATACAACGCAGTGGCGCTGAGAACAAGCGTGCTACGGAAGCTGGTCTCATCAACAAGAGTCTCCTAACGCTCGGCCGTGTGATTAACGCGTTGGTCGAGAAGGGCTCGCATATACCTTACCGTGAGTCGAAGTTGACCCGTCTCTTGCAAGATTCTCTTGGAGGTCGTACGAAGACCTGCATCATCGCAACACTTTCACCCGCCAAAAGCAATTTAGAAGAAACAATATCTACTCTCGACTATGCCTTTAGAGCTAAGAACATCCGAAACAAGCCTCAGCATAACCAAACTATATCAAAATGGACAATGCTAAAAGATTACACTTCGGAGATTGAGAAGCTGAAGAGCGAATTAATAGCAGCGCGGCAGAGGAATGGAGTATATCTCACTCCTGAATCATACGAGGCACTCACTACGGAAAACGAGTCTCGAAGATTATTAAGCGAGGAACAAAGAGACAAGATCGAAACTGTGGAATCACATTTGCGGAACAAAGTCCAGGAGCTCTTCTCTCTGATAACTAACTTTAATACCCTAAAAAGAGATAATGATGCGACCCGGTTGCACCTCGAAGAAACAAAGGGGATTCTAGAAAAGACTGATATCGTTCTGGCCCACACTCGTCAAAGTTTGGCGGAGGAGAACCTGCTCCGGAAAGCACATCAAAAGACTGAGGAGGAACTAGCGAACATTGGACAAAATATGATTTCAACGCTTGGGAAGACAACGTCAGATCTCGGTGGCCTGCACGCAAAGCTAAGACGACGATCTGCTCTACAGTCTCAGAATCGCGACAACTGGACTTCAACACAAGCTCGAGTCGGAGATAAGACCAGGATGGTTGAAGAAAGATTGAGCGAGTTTCAGTCGCAGCAAGAAATTTTACTCTCCGATCTCTCGACAAGAATGCAGGGGTTTGTCGAACAGGAACTGCAAAAACTCGAATCCTCGAAAGCTTTCATGCAGGAGAAAATGCTTCGCTTTCAGGCTTCCGAGAAAGAGGTCAACGAGCAGACTGCGAAGTCAAAGGACGAACTCAACGGGGTTTTGCAAGAGATCAAATTGCTTCGTGAAGACGTCAAGCAGAAAGTTGGAGCAGGCTTGAATGATCTATCTGCTGCGGCACAGCGTATATCCGCTGGTATCTCAGAAGAATTGAAGGAGTTCCAAGCCCAGCTTCACATATCTTATTCGAGCATGGGGAAGGAATTCAAAAACTCTTACCAAGACCTAATCGAACGCCTTGATGATCAGCAGGCTATTTCGGATCAGCTCCAGCAACAGATCGTGAAAGCTGATCAAACTCTTGTCGAGTCGAGTAAATCAGCTCAACAGCAACTTAGTGTGGTAGTCGAAGAGGAGCGTATCAAGGCTGTGGAAGAGCGTCAGCTCTTGATGTCACAAATTGCGAGTCTGGTCAATACCTCTGCTGAAGCACAGGAGGCAAGGATTTCTAACAAGTTATCCGTCGTCCAAGAGAGCATGAGGTCAGCAAATGGTCGTTACGGTACCGAGCACGACGCTTGGAATTCAGGAATGGACATGTGGAAAGACAAGTCAAAAGAGATTGTGTTCGACATAATCAAGTCGCGTGACAATATCAAGGCAAAAGTTGTTGCTGACTATGCAGTAAGTGCTTTTATCACATATGCTCACTTTCACAGCTGACTCCTCACAGGCTGCAAATACCCATACAGCATCATTGCAATCAACGACGACATCTGTGCACGACTCAACGGTACAAATTGTTGATACTCAGATGGCACACATGGACACACAGTTGCAATCCCTCGACGATATAGTCGTGCGCATTCGCGAGCAGAACGACTCGCATAACAATACACATTCCTTGTCCCTCGCCGCACTAGGAGATACTGTCCAGTCCTCCTACGCCAGCATCGAAGACCACCTGGCCTCGACCTTCTCAAGAGTCCAAGAGCTTGATGGTGACGTGACGGCTCGAATGTCGGCTATTCGTCATACATTCCCTCTTCTGTCAGCGGATGGTGACATACGGGCAACACTACATGGTCTGCGCGAGGAAATTGAGACCCAAACGCTGGTGGAATATGCGCCCACAGGCGAAACTCCCCAGCGCATCCAGTACAGCTATCCGTCCACACTTCCGCGCACGGAAGGCCACGACAACCTCCTTGCTCGACTCCGCGGTCCGCCTGTCTCCGATTCGCCCTTGTCCGAGCCTGCTCGCAGTCCTACGAAGACTAGAGTCTTCGCAGATGCTCCGTCGTCCTCCCCAACAGAGTCGCGTCCGCCTACTTCAGGTGGTATCTTACCAGCTTCGACAAATGGCTTACGGGAGATTGATGCCAATGTCGTCAAGGCCCAAGAGAGCCATTTTGGCGTGTCAGTGTCTTCTCTCGAAGCTGCTGCCATGCCACCTCTCAAGCGCCAGAATACTAACACGTCTGGCTTAGATAAAAGTATCGGTGTGGAGAGCAAGCTGCCTTCGGTGGGCAAGCGGAAGAACACAAGAATGACTGTCGCTAGTGTGGGCATGGGAGACAGGGAAAACCAGATACCGCTCGTGGAGAATTTGAGTGCGAGCGTGGGGCCAAGGCCTGGGTCAGGGCGGAGGCTGAGGAGTAGAGACAATGTTTAACGTGTGTCGAGTCAGTACGAGGCGTCGGTGGCGTTGAAGGTTGATACCTCTCGTTGTCCTGGGCTCAGGCGTTTCGGCGGCAGTCGGTTTGGCTTGAAAGACCCAGCTGGAGGCGTCCGGTGTGATCTGGGGTTTCTGTACAGTCATGACTAGAGTGTATAGTTGATGTTCTGTTTACGTGTAGCGTTCCGAATACGACGAGGACTATTTTTGTCCACTGTCTTGATCAATCTCGGCACGGAGAAGAAGTGACTGCGCCCGACTGTACATCCGATGCAGGTGGCAATTCGTGAATAATTACAATTGCGACGGCTTGAGTCTGGCATAGCTCTGAACGCCTTGTTGTGTGTGTTTTCAGTGTCCATTTATAGCCATCTGTCACACACAACCTTGTACCAAAGACGAAGTCCAAGTTGACTGACTGCTGAGTAAGTGCGATGTATCACAACTTGGATAAGCTCGAGAATCAGACCTGCCAAGGTCGGTAAGTTAGGTGCATCCAGCCGAAGCACCACCTTAGGTGTTATTTGCCCCTGGCTAAGCCTATTAGACTGCTACAACAACAATGGAAGCAATCACAAGTTACATAATTCAGGGTCCTCTATGATTTGGTTGTTTTGGATTGGAATAAATACCAAGTATATGGGCTATGGCGCCGTGACTCGCCCCCCCCCCCCTAGTTTTTGTCTAACCTTACTGCTTCATTGTTCTCGATAAAGTTCAAGTCAACTTTATGCCCCAGCAGCTCCCGAATATTGTTCACGCCATACTTAATCATTGTCGGCCGCTCCAAACTAAGACCGAATCCGTACACTCGCATGTCCTTTGGCAGGCCCATGGGCTCTAGCATCTCAGGTCGGAACATACCGCTATTGCCGATCTCTACCCACTTGGCAAGGCCAATATGATATCCGAAAATCTCCATGCTAGGCTCAGTGTAAGGGTTATACGCGGGCTTGAAGCGAAGATTCTCGATGCCGAGTTTCGAGTAAAAGTCCTCTAGGAAGCGCATCAAGCCACCAAGCGTCAGGCCAAAGTCTGCAATTACGCCTTCTATTTGGTGGAATTCAGCGAGATGGGTAGCATCGACAGTTTCGTTGCGGAAGACTCGGTCTATTGAGAAATAGCGAGCAGGCCGGGGATTTTCTGCAAGACGATGCAATGCCCATGTCGATGATGCGGTTGTGTGCGTACGGAGGACCAATTTCAAGCATTCGTCTTCCGACCAATCATACCGATATCCTATTGAGCCGAACTTTCCTTCCTGGTGTACGGCCTTTATGTCGTTGAAGTATTGATTGTAATCGCGTGGCTTTATTGTCGATTGCTCTTTTGTCGCATATAGCTTCCGTGCACCTGCTTCCATTTCATTCATTGCCTTCTCAGCAGATGGATCTTCACGCGGTCGGTCGGCTTTGGGAGGGTCTGAGATGAAGAAGGTATCTTGCATGTCGCGGGCGGGATGTTGTTGAGGCACGAAGAGGGCGTCAAAATTCCAGAAACCCGACTCCACGAATCTGTGATATTTATTAGGCGTTTTCTTCCAAGATAAATAGATTGCACCACTGCTAACTTATCTGTAGGCATTTCTACGAAGCCCTGGTTGAAGAAGAGATTCCGGAACTCAGTTCGGACCTTGTTTAGGGGATGAAGCGCGCCGGCATTCTGTGAAGCTCCTTGGGCGTTAAAATTGTATGGTTTGAAGTTGGCGGTCTCCCATGCACCACTAGCCAGCATATCGGCCGTCAAGTCTGTTACTTCGACGGGAATTTCCTTCGCATACTTGGGGCCCTTATTTACAGTATACGTTATGATCTTGACAATGCTGACTAGCTTGCGCTTCTGAAGCTCTTTCAGCTCTTTTGGATCTTCCACAGTCTTTGTCTCCTGTATCTTTGCTAGCTTCTGCTGGGCTATATCCTGTACGGTGTCGGCGACTGGTACGAGGTTGTTACCGTCCTTTTTGACCCATCTCGCTTTGAAAGCATTGCCTTGTCCTACTTTCGCAGTGAGATCCCCTACTATACTTGGCAGTTGCTTTATCTCAATTTGTCCTTGTTTCTTGACAGCGTCCCAGACTTTGTACTCGTGACTCCCTTCTCTTGCAATCATAGTACCCTCTTCGGTGAGTATGACTTGCTCGGTGTCGTTGGTCTCATATTTTATCATATACCGAGAACTCAAGCGATCCAGGGTGGCTTTTATTTCTGGTTGCGAGACATCGGGAAAGGCTTCATCTGTCTTCAGGGAGGGGTTTTGGTCGAGCTGCTCGAGAACTTCAAGGGCCAGATCGCGGGTGCCGCTATTCGATGCCACCGGTACGGGGCCACGAGTACCTGGCATAATCGTGATTGCGCCCGATTGCGATACTGGAGGAATCAGATGCTGTGCGCCGAGACTGAATCGAGGAAGAATAAGTCGGAGTCAAGGTGTGAACTATGAGTCGATGCGGGGATCTTTGGTGCAGCCACAGTGTGGCGTCAAAATCTGCTGCCTTGGTGCCTTGCTTTGCAAGCTTAAAAGACCCATATCATATTCAACTTCCTGGCCACCTCAGGTTTTCTGACTCAGGCACAACGATATATCGTCACTTGACCACGGTGAAGGCGGAAATACTCAGCCGCAGCGTTCAACATCGGGTGACTGACTCGCTCGTCATTCCTCTTGACTCATGGCATCGAGAATGTGTACATCCCTTCTCCAGCAACACCTGGTCATTCGCCAGGAAGTCAAACTTTAGATGTCCTTTTAGAGCCATCGGCCCGTGTATCCATCTGAGTCTTATAGAGGTCAAATCGCGTGCCAGCCCCGCACGACTCGCGGGGTCCTGATCAAGGCTAACAGGCATGACTTTTGTTATCTATTACTTCTATGCCCCGAGTGCTACAGTTCACTCCAAAACGTGTTTCCCGCAAGGATTTCGACGCGGGTCATGAAATTGACATGCTCGAGCGTGGAGCAGACGAGGACGAATACAATTCGAATACGCACGAGGTCGATCTGCGCCAATACTGCACTAGGAAAATCAGACTCCTCGCAGATTGCCAAGACGGTAGGTTTTCATCGAATTGGATAGGTTGCTTGTGTTAGATTGAGTTCTGTGTATACATCTAACTGTTACTGAAACGACATCAACACATGTAGAAACACCCGGATATATCGACCGTCTACCGGGTATCCCCACTTGTGATCTCAAAGGCGCCACACGAGGCCTGCAGGGTTCATACGAGCAGTTTCATTCGAATTGTTAGGCTGACTAGCTATACATACAATCTTCAAGATACCCTGGTGCGGCGGTGGGCCCTCAGATCGCACAAGATTGCGTTTGCCCTGGGCTGTTCTGGAGAGTCCTTTGGCCCGCATCGCTCCACACCACTTCGGCTTCAAGTAGCTGTGCCGCAACGCCTATCGCGACCTTTTAAGATCTACCAAAAATACTAATGTCATGCATACGCAAGCCCCTCAGTGGCCCAGACGTGGATCGTTAACATGGATCAGTCCAAAGCCTTACAGGGCGTATGTTGCGGACATTTCTTATTGACCACGTTTCGTTTGCGCATAGCGCGCGCAGATACACTGCTCCCGACTTAGTGGTACCAGCAGCCACTATCACTGGAGGCTTGGACCTACACGACTCCGATGGCTGTCACGGCCGTGAATGGTCACGGTTTGCCTTGAGACTGGCATGGAGTTATACGCTCTAGAGATCAGGAGAACGACCCAGCCATCCAGTCGTGCCACCCAATCGGAACGACAGATCCTTCTGTAAGTGATGGACCGCACACTATAGACAATACCTACGGCTGTATGCCCATTGGCTCTGGGGCAAGGAATCACACGTATAGTCGGATCGTGGCTTGGTCTATTTCAGGGTGATCACATCATAAGAATATGTGGGTAGGGCTGTATCCCGAAGTATGATGATGGTCCAGACTATCTTTACTGTGTTGGACGCCTCGTGTCCGATACTTGATAATTAATAGGCTGCCTCCTCAGTACATTCCTTTTATACTCTGTGTCTCTTTTCTGAATCCACTTCCCATCTTCTTTCTCATAATTGTCTTAATCGGAATCTCGTCCACTGTCAGAAAGGATGCTTGGTTTACTGGCTGGGATATTTGTCCTGGCTCGCATACTCTATGCCATATTCTACAAAAGCTATATATGGGAGACGAAATCTTCAGGTGGGGAGAAATATGAGCAGATAACTGCTGTTCATCCTCGTCATCCGTTGTTATTAGGTTTCGACTTCGCTCTATCAAACCTTCGAGCAAATCAAAGAAATGCCTATCTCGAACACGCTCAGACCGCTTTCCGAATTCTGGGGAATACCTGGACCACAAGATCCCTGGGAACATCGATGATTGAGTCGATCGAACCCGAGAATTTAAAAGCAGTATTTCATGCAGACTTTCCCACGTGGCAGCAGGGCAATTTCCGGATCAAAACATTCAGACCTCTGCTCGGATATGGGATTCTCTCTGCGAATGGTCGAGCCTGGGAGCACTCACGAGCGTTGATCAAATCCGCTTTCAAGAGCTATACAGCGGATTCCACTATCTACGAAAAGCATATTCAAAATCTAGTCGCTAGTCTACCAAGATCATCTGCAGAGGTCGTAGACCTGCAACCGTACTTCCTAAGGCTTACCATGGACATCTCAACGGACGTTTTGTTCGGAACCTCAGTGTTCAGTCTCCTGCCGGGGTCTGCGGACTTTGCTGATGCTTACGAGATTGTGAAAGATAACATCTTCAAAGACATGCAGGTATATCCACTCGGCTGGCTTCGAGACCACCGGGAAGCCAGGGCAGCGACTAAGGTTGTCCACGATTTCGTTGACGGATTCATAGAGAAGGCCCTGGCTTCTGCGGACGCTATCAACGAAGAAGAGGACCAAGGCCGTCGCTACAAATTTCTCAGGCAAATGGCGACAGAGCTCGAAGACAGGACTAAGCTGCGAATGGAGCTCCTCAGCCTCCTCCTCGCCGGTCGCGATACCACAGCAGCTCTCGTATCCAACATGCTCTACATTCTTGCACAACGCGAGGATATCAGGCGAAAAGTCCAGGCCGAGGTGGCTTCGCTTTCCGGTCGCTTCCCGCGTATTGATGACCTGAAGCGCCTGCAATACCTCAATTGCACGGTCAAAGAATGTTCGTCCCCCTGCTGAACCACTGCCCTACACCCCTTGTCGCATCAATATCAGGTCACAAGACTAACAGCCACAACAGCCCTCCGCCTTCATCCTGTGACGCCTATCAACTCCCGCACCGCCGCCACCGACACAACTCTGCCTACTGGCGGCGGTGTGTCCGGCACATCCCCAGTCTTTGTGCCCGCAGGCACACAGTTTGTGACCAGCGTACACGCCCTGCACCGGCGTGAAGACCTCTGGGGGCCCGATGCCGCGGCTTTCAAGCCGGAGCGGTGGGCAAACAATACGCCTGCCCCCTGGCACTATATGCCGTTTCTGGGCGGCCCAAGACAGTGTCCTGGACAGGGGCTCGCACTGAATATTACTCTATTTACGGTAGCGAGGCTACTGCAAATATACGAGGACATATTGCCTGCCCGTAGCGAGCCGTGGCAGGGCGCTATTGCGGTGACTTGCTGGAATGCGAATGGAGCCAAAGTGAGACTTGTGCCTAAAGATAGGACGTAGGAGGCAGAGATGTCACGCGCATATGTCATGGTTTTGTTTGCCTTTTCTGGAAAATGTGGGTATACTGGGTGTTGGTTGTTGGGTAGGACAAACCCCTGTCAACAGATGTCGGTGAGTCTGACAGTGCTCGTGGCAGGGTTGCAGACATGGTACCCGAGCCCTCCTTTTATCTGTTGCTGTGGTGCTGGACACAATTTTTGCTTATGTCTGTATCACTTTTGATTTCTTGCTTTTGTAACAAGTGACGCGCAATCGACGTATACATATACAATATTGATCAGACTCGATTAATCCAAATGAACACCGTTCAACGCCAGGCTTGATTTAATTTAAAACACTCGGAGATGCCGACGCTGCCAAAGAAGCATTATTGATAAGCTCGTGGCAATGTCAGACAACCAATGGCTTATCATTTTTTGATATCGCCGAAGAACACGACTTGCACCGTCACATCGTCTCTAACATATCTGCTGATCGGGCTGTATGTGCCGATCACGCCGCAGAACAGTGCCCTTCTACTACCTCCAAATGCGTTCTTGACTAGATGCGTGGCTGCGTTGCTGTCTTCAACCACAAAATGTTCAGGTGTTGCTCTCCAAGTAATGAACCTCGAGTCTTCATCTTCTCTTTCGAATGCTGGCCTTCTCTCGAATTTTGATCTTGGTAGTTTAGTTGGACCTGATGGGTCAATTTTCCCTTGCTTGACCGCTGCCGCCCATCGAGAGACACATTCTACTGCATCTTCAGAAGTAATGTGATCCCATAGGCCATCTGAAGCAAGAATAATAAAGTCGCCGTTGCCAACTGTTGTCGAGGTAACTTCTGGCTCTGCAGTAAAATAAGGCGGGGTCTTGTTCTTCTCGATACTTTTTTGAGCCCAGAACTGTTCAAATGAGGTAGTCTGCTCAGCGTTTGTCCACTTGCCTCGCGAGTCTCCAAATGCACGAGACAATGCCCAGCCGAGTAAGCGACCATTTTTCGGATTGATCATTTCCGGCTCGTTTGGGTGAAGTTCAGTGAGACGTTTAATTTCGTCAGGATTGAAACCATTCTGATCCACGGACAAGGGCTCGCATGTATGTACAGTACTGTTAGGTTTGCTACGTCCAAGTACTGCGCGAGAGTCTCCAGTGCATGCGGTATGGAGTGTAGATGTGCTAGGCTCGTATGCAGAAAAGATGGCACACGAGCCAGCAATCGCAGGGGCAAGAGCGGATATTGATTCAGAGAACGTGGCAGACGTATTAGGAGCTATAGCACGTCGAGCGTATGCAAATATGTCATCGTCGAGATGTGTGAACGCCTGCTTGATAGCCGATACAGTCTTCGACAGAGGGGACGACTCTGGAAGGGCGTTCAGATGTGTCGATACATAGGGGATTAAGGACTCTCGAAGGACAGCAGACGTCGCCCAACCACTTCGGGGAACAACGTTAGCTATGCACACATAGAGATTGAAGATGTATTCGAGTTCTTACGCATGTCCGTCATATACACCCCAGTAGTACCAAGGATCCTTGCCAATTCCTCGTGCTGGGCCATGTGACAAGTTGTCTTCTACTGGGCTGTTGCTGGCAAGTCTGACAGTATAAAAAGAGCCACCGGTCCCTATCGCAAAGGTGGATTGGTTTTCCTCTGCAGAGAGCTTCGCCGTGGCCTCCTTCAGGTCGAGTGCGGGTACGACCGCTGGAATCGGAGCTGGTGCGAGTATAGAGGGATTGCTGCTCTTTGTGTAGATATAAGCAAGGGCACCTGCTGATATACCTCCTATTATGATAGACCCTAGGCCTATTTCTGCGTGTACAGGTTGAAGATGCTGAGGTCTAGGTGGGTATTTGAAACGTAGATTTCGACGGAGGGCGCGAGCGACAGGTCTATTGAACATGACGATTGATATGCCTTTTGGAAGCGTGGAGGCTGTCTCAGTATCGGGTTTATACTCCGTGAGACTTTTTGCGATCTTGGATGGGTTGGAAGATTGAAAGACGCCACTGAGGTGATATCGTCAGTCTGGCCTACTGAAGTCGCGACGTCAACGCCGGAGTCAGGGTCCGAGGGTCCGAGGGTCCGGGCGCGACAGTTTGTACCTGCATGACTCGCGTATGTAGACGTGCATATTGTTTCGAATTGTTTGTAAATTGTTTGTACATGCTACAAATCTATGAATCCGGGTATATCATAATCACGCCCCCAATAACTCCAGACATGCAGAATATCGAGCCTGTTAGGCCATGACTCGCCTGACTTCTTCGCTGTCTATGTGTACGACCCTCACGCCTTGTTTCTCTATCTCGGCATAACAGTTTTCCAACCTTTCCTGGTCCACAGCTTTCGTTCCCTCTCTGATGATGTATGTCTCGAATCCCTCCTTTACACTATCCAGTGCTGTATACTTGACGCAATAGTCCGCAGCTAGACCCACGCAGTACACATGGGTGACCCCTTTCGCTCTCAGCAAGTCTGCAGCCTCACTCTTCGCTACGCCAAATGGATCGCAGAACACACTGTACATTTCCAATCGAGCATCCTGGCCCTTCCTTACCACTTGAACGTTGGACACATCAAGCTCTGATACGAACTGGTTGCCAAGGGTGCCTTGAATGCAATGGTCTGGCCAGACACGCGAGACCTGTGTTTGGGACGGGTTGAGCGGATTTGTGATTGTAATAGTGCTTTCAAAGGGTACGTTGTTGGGTGGTGCATGCTGTGAGGCGAAGGAGATGTGGTTTGGAGGATGATCATCTTTTGTTGCGATGCGCAAGGCGAATGAAGGTGAGGAGAGGAGGGTATTGATAAGGGGAATGATGGTGCGGCCATCTGACACTTGAAGAGCACCGGACTGAGACTTAAAGTTAGAGACGGCTGTACTGGGGTGATGTGTGCACAAACTGGTGGGCAGAAGTCTTCTTGCATATCGATGACAAGTAGAGCTGGGACAAATGCATTTGAGGATGCCATTATAGAAGTGAAGATTGCAGTGTTCAAAGGGAGTGAGAACAAGTGGTGGCTTGATATTAATACTAGTGTTCCTCTGATATCAGCGCCTCTGTTTGTGAGTACGAGGATAGTTACATGTTAGTGTGAATGATGTATCGAAGAAGTGAATGAAGTCAAGGTTCCGCGTCTATCGATAGCCCAGTCCCACTATCATTCATAGAGGCGTCTATGTGGGGTATTTCCTGTACCGACGCGAAATATCTCAGAACATCCGAATGCTTTCAACGACCCACAGCTCAATGTTCGCGTCGCCTTGCACTCAATGTAATTAATTGTATATTCTCATCACCTCATCGACTCCTCCACGCCCGCCCCCGCCCTCTCCTTTGATGTGTGGCATCTTTGTTTCTTTGAGCGCTACAGCTCCTCCCGCAAAACCTAATGCTGACATCAGTGAGTTGTTGCGCCGGCGCGGTCCAGACAGCGTGGAAGATCATGTGGTGACTATACCGAACGAAAATTTTACACTGTACGCGTATTTCTTGACAACAGTTCTCTCACTTCGGGGATCCGATATCGTGGCCCAGCCACTCGTCGACAGGGCTTCTGGGTCTGTTCTCTGCTGGAATGGAGAAGCGTGGAGCATACGTGATGAGATAGTGGCCGAGAGTGACACAACCAAAGTATTCCAGTCCCTTTTAGCAGCAAGTCTGGCAAATGCGAGAGCTCGAGCAACCACTGATGATCACAACGATGCCATATTGGGCGTCCTGTCGTCTGTACGCGGGCCTTATGCACTGGTATTCTACGACGCTGCCAGTGGCCGCCTGTACTTCGGTCGAGACTGCCTTGGTCGCCGATCTCTGCTCTATTGTTCTGACACTGTAGGTGAGATTACAATATCTAGCTTGACCGACAGTCAATTTTCAGGCCGCTTTCATGAAGTCGAAGCCGACGGCCTTCGTGTCATAGATTTATCAAGACCGTCAAAGGAGTTTGTCATTAACCGTATTCCATATGACCACAAGTCAGACTCGCCGCAGGTTGTGGTTCTATACCCACACAAATGCATCATATGCTAACATATATGTCAGAAACTTCCATTCGGACCCCTCAACAAGGCTCACCCAACTGCAGATCAAACTCTCTCTGCTCTCACGATCGCGTCAGCCCCGGTACACGATCTGGAGCGTGTCTTACGTCAATCTTTGAGTTTGCGTGTGCAGAAGATTAAGGCCGGTCCTTCTGTCGAGGCTGATACAGGCCAGTGTATTCTAGCGATTTTGTTTTCAGGGGGGCTTGATTGCTCTGTAATTGCCAGAATGACTCATGATTTACTGGATGAATCAGAGCCTGTCGATCTCCTCAATGTAGCATTCCACAATCCTCGGACTCATAAACCTGCCGAGCCGGGTCAGGAACTCACCAAAACATCATACGAGCTGTGTCCTGACCGCCTCACTGGCCGAAAAACATTTGCTGAACTACAGCGTGTATGTCCGAGCCGCACCTGGCGTTTTGTGGCCATCAATATCCCATACGAAGATACACTATCTCATCGCGAGCTGGTGAAGAAGCTCATGCAGCCACATAATACCGAGATGGATCTATCGATCTCTTACGCTCTATACTTTGCGTCCAGAGGTATTGGCACCGCGTACAACTCTAACGGTTCCGTCATACAAGACTATTCGACCTCTGCGCGGGTACTCCTCTCGGGACTGGGCGCCGATGAGTTATTCGGAGGATATCAGCGTCACGCGACAGCGTATTCTCGATCAGGCTTTCCAGGGCTACTGGATGAGCTTGAGCTGGATGTCAATCGCCTCGGTAAACGCAATCTTGGCCGCGATGATAGAGTTATATCGCATTGGGGCAAGGAAGCTAGGTTTCCCTATCTTGACGAAGACGTAATGAGTTGGGCTCTTTCGGCTCCAATATGGCAGAAGTGTGGATTTGGTCTTCCGGAGAGCCCATCGTCGGAAGATCAAGCCCTGGAGCCTGGAAAATTGGTATTACGGCTTCTTGCAGCGAGACTAGGCATGACCGGCGTTGCATCTGAGAAGAAGCGGGCGGTAGGCTCTACTTGCTGTTGGATCAAAGACAAAGCTGATCAGGCAGATTCAATTCGGTGCAAGGACGGCGAAGATGGAGAACAACAAAAGCAAAGGCACCCATGTGCTGTCATGAAAGCCACTCAACTCTGTAAGTGCCCATATGTCTCATAGGTCTCGGCGTTTGGTGGTTAGCGATGATGACGGGCGAAATTCGCCAGCAGATACTTGTGAGGTAAAAGTTCATCTCATGACGGTGTGTATGTTCCTGCACTCTGTGTTTTCGACTCTCGTCAGTCAACCGGGTGAGGGAAATCCGCTGTTGTGGGAATTGACATACCTATGATCCAGAAAAGGCAAGTCTGAGCTACATCCTAATCAAACGGCAGCGGATTTGACCGTGATTGTCATGAAGATGCAAATAATTAGTTTTGTTTGCCTGTGTTGACTGACACGTAAACTTCGAATGTGTCACAGAAGCAACGAAACCATGCCATCCATGTGCGGCCTATCACTGCAAGTCACTGCAAGACACTGCAACTAGCAGATACCAGAATGAGCTGGAGGCTCCTATCATGATGAGGTACTTCAAGACCTTCCTTTCGCGTAAGTGTTGTACTAGTAAAGTATGCCTAGTAATGTCTGATTTTGTTATAGGAAGCGAAGTGTTTGAGATGCACAATACCTAGCTGGTTCCCGTTTGTATGGAACCTTCATTACCTACTTACCTTAAAGCTCACGCGAGATGGGAGTATATCTAGGTGTGACCCTGGTGTTGCCATTGATAGCCTCCAGTATAAGTGCCAGAAGCACAACAGTAAGCTCAGCATGGTCCCTTGATCATGCAACATTCGCCTAATTTCTCTCATCAAAGTGCAATGTATCCGACCTTCACTGCTGCTCTGACCATTGCTGACTATCCCCAAATACCAGACAGAGTCCTTGGGGATATTGCCAGTGGCACGAAATCAAGTGTCTGGTCAAATGCACTACCTATGGAGGCGCATTGGAAAACGAAGGGTCACACTACTTTGTTTGATCGGAAGTTTGTTGTTCAGATGGTCGAGGGAAGTGGTCTATAGGTATAAGCAACATACGTGCGATACCTTCAGATAGCCAAATGCGCCATCTTCAAGCCTCTCCATCGTCTTCTTCTTGCCTCTATCACATGCTCGTACACGTTCTATCATGGCGTGCTGATATGTACCGGTATTTTAGCGTGTCGACCCCGACTTCCATTACTAGCTCCGATTCCTATCTTATCTCCTTGAACTACTACTCTACTAGGTAATAGTTCGTGATACAGCGACAGTCTCAAATCATCTGAATGGCGACGCTCCCGCGGCCTTTGCGACTGTCTTCTTCCCCTCAGACACAACTTCAACCTCCTTGAAGACCACAGACCCTATCAACGGTCTCCCACCATGTCCCAACGACTCGAAAAAGCCCTTGCGGCAATCGATGCTGCCCACTCAAACGACCCGACCAAGACGATCATCAACGGCGAAGCAGTCCCATACGAGCTACTTTACGCACAGAAGATGACCAAGTACCTGCACCAGCTAAGCTCTACGCCCTCGGAAGAGCTCCAACTCGCGATCCGCGCACAGCACTTCCGCCGATGGGAAGTCCCGCGCTCATCCTACCCAATGACGAAGATAGGCTACCACAGTTGGCGGACATACCTCAAGAAACGACAAGCCGAGCTTGTGGCGCCGATCTGTCGCGATGCGGAATACAGCAAGGAGTCGGTGGAGCGCATCGAGGCTCTGATCAAGAAGGAGGGCTTGAACAAGGGCGAGGAAGAGGTGCAGATTCTGGAAGATGTGGCGTGCTTGGTGTTTCTGGACGATCAGTTTGATGAGTTTGAGAAGGAGCATGATGAGGACAAGATTGTGGGCATTCTGCGGAAGACGTGGGGGAAGATGGGGTCGCTGGGAAGAAGCGCGGCGTTGGAGATGCAGATGAGTGGGAGGGCGAAGGAGTTGGTTGGGAAGGCGCTTGAGGGGAATTGATGGTTTGGTAAGGATAGCATCATGAGGGATCAGAGTAACATTGACGGTTGAAGCTTCTCTCAACCTGACTGATGGTGTGAATATGCGATGTCAGCCAATCCATCGAACATGTGTCAGTCCCAGGATAGCGGTTAAATCCAGTTCTAGAGTTATCACTAAAATGATCCAGCCGACGAATACTACGAGTAGTTGCCAATATATACTCTATTCATTACGTGGTTAGTGACAGACCACTGCAAGCTCTTACCAGCATCGACCTGGCCAAGCGAACAGAAATGACCAACCAGCAGAACTAATATCAAAAGCTCAAAACTTGCGTAAAGAATGGACTCGCTTCCGGAAGCCTCTTGCACAAGAAATCCGGCGCGTACGACTCCAACTTCTCCGTCTCGTAGTTCCCCGTCGCCACCGCAACGACTCTGCACCCGGTCTCCTTCGCACACTGGATGTCTAGCGGCGTGTCCCCGACGATGGTGACATCCGAAGGCGCGACTGGGATCCCGTGTCGAGCCTGCATCTTCCGTATTGAGTCCAGCACCAGCGCGGACCGGTGCTCGTGCGCGTCACCAAAGGACGAGATCTCTAGGTCGAAGATATCTGTGGGGAGACCTGCGGCAGAGATCTTGAGCAGTGCATTCTCGCGCGAATTGCCGGTCAGCAGACCGATTGAGACTCGTCGGCCGAATTTGTCGCGCTGTTGGGGAAGCCACTTGAGTGCCTCGGACACTTGCGGGCAGGCAATTGAGGTGAAGCCCTTTCCAAGTGATTCTCGGAGGTACGAGGGGTGCAGCTCGAAAAACTTGGTCATCAATGGCTGGATCTCATCCTCGCCGAAGCCGTGGTAGCTTAAGATGGCGCGCAGCAGTGATCTATCGGTCACACCATGGAGGTTGATATCCGTGTTTTCGTTGTTGATGTCTTTGCCTGTGATGTCACTGACGCAGCGATAGTAAGCGTCGATACTCAGGTCTTCAGAGCGGCAGAGCGTGCCGTCGACGTCGAAGAGAACGAACATGTCTGCCTCGGCAGCGTGTGGCCAGGCGAGGACACGGAGGAGCTCTCTCGATCCAGTGAATGAGGTGCGGCCGTGAAGGAAGCGATGATTGTCGACGATGTAGCACTGGCCGGGCTCGAGTGAAACAGCAAAGGCGTGCTTGTAGACTATATCGCTGAGCTTCTTGAAGTTCTCAACGAGAGATGCTGACATCTGAATGCCGTCGTCGAACCGGAAACGTACTATATCAGTTTTCTCGTCGTAGATGGGCCTTGGCTGAAAGGTGCCGTTGTCAGCTTTGAAGCTAGAGTATTTAGCACAGGTGATGAGGCTGTATAGGAGCGGCTCATGTTGGCGAATGTAGTCGAGAGCTTGGCGTGTATCTACGAGCGCTGATTCGCCCCCAGTTTCGGATTTGACCTTCAGTGTAGTCATGAGCACTGGATTGGGACTTAGCTAAGCTACGACGTCATAATTCGAAGGTACAAAGGAGTACTGACAACGTGGGGGTTCATCCCATCCACTACGATCGGTGTGGAAGAATAGTTCTAAGTACCAGCGTTAGTCACTCAGAGGCGTTAGTTAGATGGTCGGTCGAATCTACCTTGATTGCTATACCCTTTGCCTTCTAGGCCTGGAGCACAACGGATGTTACTGACTCCTCTTCCACCTGCCAGCTCATTGCGAGGCCGAGCAATTGTGCCCAAATTCTCTCCGAGAGCAACGAGTTTGTCTTCATCACAATTTTGGAGAAAGACCATTCCATCGCGATAGAATGCCTTTCTGATTCCGTCAAGATCAAGTGTGTCATGAAAATCAGGGGTATAGAACCCTCGGAGGCAGTCCTTGACGTCCATTGTTGTGCTTATATACAAGATATTGAATGTCAGGGTTTTAGTAATACCCTAGGAATTATGAAAGGGGATAATGTTACTGATAACTGGGATATATACCGGAGCCTTTGACCATCCGTCCCATATTATATACTCTGCACCTAAATGGGATGTCCAACTTGTTGAAATCCAATGGAAAGGTGGCCAACGAGCAAACCACCTTCTTCATCCGTTCGACCATCCGACTATTACGTTGAGGCGTTCGAGCTCGCTACTTGCTTTGCCCGATCGCCATAGCCCGTCCTATTCTGCATTACCAGGGTAGACGAGGGTATTGTCTTGAAAATCCAATGAACTGCCAGGATATCGTACTGCCGTGCGCCATTGATAGGTTTTCTCTGAGCGAGATCCAGTTGGCGATAGAGCTTATGCTAGTGAGCAGGTAATTTTCCCGTTTGTATGGTCTTAGAATGAGATTCGCGGGACTATACGACGAAAACATTCGTCATAGTCGTTCACTTCGTCTAAAGATCAAGAGAAGCGCAACCGATCGGACGGAATGTACCCCACGTCCCGGACGAAGTTCAGCTAACGATTGACCTGCACATGCAGCTTGATTTCGAGGGGGGAAACAGACCATCATAGCCCATCAAAGAGCCATCATGAGCCTGTAACCACCCGGTTGGGGCAGCACTATTCCATACTAGAACTTGCTCCTGAGGTCTTAATAGCCCATCCGTTCCCGAAGACCTAGTCGTCATAGTCATGATGTCGATTTGCAGGGTCACTCATAATAGCTTGTACAAATGCCGATAATAGCATGCCTGGAATAGAGCTAAATGTAGACCGGGGGCGAACGTTTCGAGCGGGCCGTTCTGTACCCCCTTTCCTGTGGTTCATCTTCGCGCTGGTCTCAACGGTTATGCCGAATTAGGTGATCTGTAGCGAATGAACAGAGCTCGGAGTGGATGCCAAAGTCCTGCTGGATGTGTCAGCTATATCTGAATTTCGAGGTCTCATAGTCGAAAGATATGCAAAGTGCTTTGCAGATGTCGTATACCTTCCATAGTAGAGCGATAATAATGTAAGATTTATGTCTCAGTGCAGGGAAAGTACATGTGGCGGCACCGTCAAGACGACCGTAGTATACGATTTAGGAAGGCATTGCGTGATTTTCGTCAATAATTCGCGAATATTACATTATTGTGCCGAAGTATGAGGTTGAAAAGTAGAATAATGGGCGTTGGCAAACAGGACAAACTGACGGATGGCTGCAAACTTAGCACCGGTAGCTCAGGGACGGGCCTACGCCACAAGCGAGAACAATTCGGAACCTACCCAAATGCCCTGTCCAGCCGTGATCGATATTTGTTCCACGTTGTTGGATTAGGGTGGTCGCTGGGTGTTGAGTCGGAAGCCGCTTACGGCATAGAACTACTAGACGAGGCGGCGCTGATCAGATGCGACATGAACAGATCCTCTCCTTTTTCCGTAACGCTCGCTCTTAAGATCATCTCTTTAGCGAAAGAACCCCACAGCAGAATGCAACGTCTCATCGAGACACCGAGTTTGGTGAGAACCGTAATGGTAACTGTAGCTAGCTTAGATGGTAAATGTAAGCCCTATTAGTACGACTGGATACCGCAGAAATGTGTCCCACGAGAGGTCTTTTTCCATATATTAAAATCTTAGTATGGCCAATAATGCAAATTTTCGCACTCTGGCCGTGGGGGCCCATGTTTCGCTGGCCGGTTTCCTCTATGGACTTGACACAGGTGTGCATGGCGAAGGCAGCCGCTGTGATGCTCTATAGCAGCCTTTCTGACAACTGGTAGGTTCTATAGGCCCAATCACCGAGATGGATCAATTCAGAAACTCAATAGCAAACCTGTCCTCCGGTCAGCAGGGTATCTTTGTTGCATCTATCCTACTTGCCTCATCGGTCTCATCGTTGCTGAGTGGTCATGTCGCAGACATTGTCTCTCGTCGATATGGCATACTCATTGGCGGATTGTTGAGTTTGACTGGCACACTTCTCTCATCCGTATCTCAAAACTTCGCCTCTCTAATCGTTGCTCGTCTGATCACTGGATTCGGATTAGGTCAGGCTATTGCAGTCACTACTGTATACTTGATTGAGATAGCGCCCAAGAGCATACGAGGGGTGACGGCATGTATGCTGCAGACCAATGTTGTGGTCGGTATCACCGTAGGCTACTTTGTCTCTTTCGGCTCGCAGGAGTTGCAGAGCACTCTCGCGTGGCGAACGCCTTTCATACTTCAAGCATGTTTCGCACTCGTCCTGACTATCGGCATGTTCTTTCTTCCGTATTCCCCGAGATGGCTTGTCCAGAAGGGCCGCATTGAAGAAGCAAGGGTCGTTTTGGCACGGTATCGAAGTCATGAAGTCGTAGAAGCAGAGCTAGAAGAGGTACAGGCTGGCCTATCGTCACATAGTCTTGAGAAGACAGCTGGCTGGTTAGAGATGTTCGAAAAGAGATATCGTGGTCGTACCATGTTAGGTATTTTCTTAATGGGTTGCCAACAGCTTACAGGTGTAAGTTGGATACTGAAAGTTTTCTCACGCTATAGTTCACACGCAACAGATCGACGTCGTGCTGTACTACGCTCCCATCCTGTTCCAACAGGCTGGTTTCGATTCTGAGAGAGCTTCTTTCCTCGCTTCGGGAGTAAGTGGCATTGTCATGCTAGTTGCTACAGTCCCAGCTCAGATATGGATTGATCGGTGGGGTCGGCGTAAGCCCTTGATCATCGGCGGGTCTTTGATGGCCGCTTGCTTCATTGTTATTGGAGTGATTTACGCTAGATATGGCACACGTGTTGAGAAAGGAGTTCGCTTGGAGTCGAGGGTCGGTCAATGGTAAGAACCTGTGTCCTCGGGCATCACTTCTCCTTGCCAACAGAGCATTGCGGTTTCTATCGCAACAGCTAATGCGATTCTAGGGTAGTCACAGTGTTGACCTACGTATTTGTAGCAAACTTCTCCTGGTCATGGGCAGTGGTAAGAATGCCCAAGTTCGAGGAATTCATTGCGATTTAGCTGACATAATACCTGATAGGTCGGCAAGATCTATGCGTGTGAGATTATTCCCACGCGACTCAGGGCCAAAGTGTCGGCGGTTGAATTACTGACGAATTGGTTGGTGAACTTCGCGGTAGCATTGACAGCACCGCTTTTCTTACGCAGCTCACCCAGCGGACCCTACTTTCTCTACGGTGGTGCTACATTAGTTGCCGCAGCCGTGTGTATCGGCATGCCGGAAACCAAAGGTCGGAGTCTCGAGGAAATCGAGTTTGAGTTTGAGAATGGATCCCTTTGGAGGCGCATCACATTGCAGAGTAACAAAAATAGGAGCACGCTGGTCGCGAATGAATCAATTGAACGCGACTTGTCGGAAAGATGAATGCGAGCAAATAGAATGAATGGTACTAAACCTGTAAGCAGGAGTTGCATCGACGCAGTAGTGGTGGTGCCGCACGTCTAATGACTACAATCGACGGTGTTAGATGATAGTCAAGTCATCAACGATATAAGAGGCAGACTTCAGACCGATGTTGTAGGGGTAAAGGGGTAAAGACATGGGATGATGTATGGATGAAACGATATCACCTCAGTGCTGCACTCAATCTATGGAGCCCCTAAGCCCTGCTCCCTAGCTTCTGTATGTCTGTCCTAATGATAGTCTATGGAGTCACTGTGTGTCTATATCCGGCTTAGTCTGTACACTGTCAGCGAGTTGTCACCCTCAAATATTATCTTACCGGTAACATTACTCTGTGACATCGCGTGCAATCCCTCCTCTTCCCAACATGAGCATTTGAATTATTCAAAGAAGCAGAAAGGTGGAACATAACAACACGTCCAATACAACGCACATGCAGCCCGTTCCATCACCAGCAGCGCGTCATTGGCGCCCAGAGCGCCATGCAAGAGACATCAGAATCGCAGTCACCGCCGCAAAGTCTGGCTGCTGTTAGGCGAAGGAATAAGAAGGGCTCAGCATGTACTCATTGTCGTCAACTGAAGGTATCGTCCTTTTCTGGTTATCTATGCTAGCTCTGGACTGCTGCTGATGGTCGCAGCTTAAGTGTGATGCTGCAGATACATTTCCAGCCGCCTGCACCAGATGCGGAAAGGTAGGAAGGCAGTGCTCGATAGACCCAACTTTCAAGAGAACTGCAAACAAGGAGTATGTCAATTTTACTTATCTTTTAAGCCTCGTGTATAATACGTGGTGTGCCTAATGTCACTGCAGACGACTGGATTCTCTTGAGAAAGAGCTTAAGCATATGCGCAATGAACTTCGATTGAAGCACGCGACTCCAACAGGCTCGTCGCCTTCTATTCCTCCAAATGCAAGCACCGAATTTTCTACAGCGCCTCAGCCAGCTCAGCTTGACGTATCGTCTACGACAATCAAACACTCTAGCCAGATTGTCAGCGAGACAATAGACGAGGTTGAACTGCCGTCAAACGTGATCCTCAAGCTCATACACGAGTAGGTCTATAGTCTACAGATACTCAAATCATAGTCTGACCGATTCAGATACTTCGAGCACTTTCATCCTTATTTTCCTGTCCTACCAGATCTTACTGCCTTTCTAACAAGATACAATTCAAACAAACTTCTCCTGTGGTCAGTCCTAGCCATTGCTTCCCGAGAATCACGCGATTTCCCATCTCTATACCCGACGTTAGTAGATCCTGTGCGCCGACTCGCTGCGGACCTGTATGCCTCACAGAGTCGTAGTTTTGAGACCGTTCAAGCACTCCTCCTTCTCTGCGTGTGGCCGTTTCCTTTCCAGCAGACCATAAATGACCCTTCTCCTATGTACGTGGGTCTTGCCACCCAAATTGCCTACCAGCTCGGCCTTCATCGCCCTTCTCGTAGAGCAGATTTTGCGGAAGGAAGAATGCCCCAGTCTGATCCTGGGGATTTTGCGGTAAAGAAAGTGTGGTTCGGGTGCTGCATTGTCAATCAAGCGTAAGTGATGGAATCATAGTTTGGTTAAAGATCGTAAACATTTAATCAACATGCTGTAGCGTAACATCAAAACTTGGAACCCCATCCACAATTCGGCCAGGCTTCGCTGTACTTTCAGAAGTCGCTGAGGGACGCTCTTCCATCATTCCCGAACCCCTTTTGAGCCAGCTTCACCTTGCACACTTATCCAACAAAGCTTTTCAAGCTCTGGGTGACTACGAATATTCTGCTAGCGGGGCACTCCCCGATTGTCTCACCACAGTTCGATCTTTCGAATCAGAATTCATTGAAACATTCGAACGTTTCAGACATAGTTGGTCACCCCACAGTGAGATCATATATCAGTCTCAACTCCTTCACTTGTACTCTTTCGGACTGGACAGCGGTACGATGACCAGTCAGACTGCGCGTGCAGACGTATCCGTAAACTCAATTTACGGCAGAGCCTGTAATGCTGTCTTACGGTTGATACACCTTGTACAATCACATTCGCATGCAAGCAATTACTGGCCGGCTTTCGTCAAAAACTCGTTGTTCTATTGTCTGATCTTCGCTCTTCCATTAGCAAATCTAGAAGACCATGGCTCAGACCAGAGGAACGAATTAATACAGGCCATCAAAGAAGGTAATATTTTGATGAAAAGCTGGTCTATGTTCGACCGTGATCACTTTTCGCGCGTTTCCTCTCATGTCGACTACCTTGTCCGCGCTTTGGAGAAAGCAGATCGAGGTCAGATTCCTACGCCTCCCACTATCGCTGGGCATGCGATTGCGGCAACAAGGGAAGGCGGTAAGAGAAAGAGGCTTGGCTTATCAGTAAGGTCTCGTATGGCAGCGAATGTCATCTATGAGACTATCTGGGCTGGAAAGCATGCTGCACTTGACGAAGAGCAAGCCCGTCAGACACGACCAGTAGTACCCCCAGTCGTGCACCCGTCAAATGGCAGCATCATCAAGCAAGCCCCTGTCGAAGTTCCCGCGGCGGCAGACTTTCAGCTCGACGGCTTCAATCCAGGCTTTGATGAGTTTGCTTTTACAGACGGATGGGGTGATTCAGGATTTCTCGACATTCTTGCAGATTGGCAGAGTCTTTTGGGAAACGAATGACGCTATTCACGGTCTCTATACTTCCTCCGTATCATTCATAACAAGGGACATACCGATTGTATAAGACATGTCCATACTAGACCACAATTGGACCACGACTTTCGAAAAAAGCCCTGGCATATCTCGAACAGGCATCGGAGAGGGCATATCGCTTCTCACAGTGCTTATCGAAGGAGCATATAACTGGAGCTAAACCTAACGCAAGTGCTCGGCACTACCCGAGGAGACCGGAACAGGTGAAAGATAGGCTATTCAGGCCTGTAGAGACAGCCTTCTATCAGGCGGTCTAGACAGAAAGAGAATTTATGGGAACCTTGATGCCTGACTGCCTTGATACCTAAGATAACACATCACGTGTGAAAGTGCGTCTCCACTTCCCCACCCAGCTAGTGCGAGAAACCTGTAAAGACTAATTACCACTCGCCTCTTGTCCTCATCATCATCACATCCCCGATGCCCTGACATCTACTCTTCCATACGTATCAAAGTAGGTTTGAACTCTTTCCTTGTTACGCTGGCACTGTTTACTGTAAGCACGGTAACTTGTCCATTATCATGTCGCACACTCCAGACAGCCAGCAGCAGTATCAACGTGAGGCCGACATCATTGACCGACATCTGCCTGAAGGGTATACTGCACAGCCTGATGCTGTTGACTATGCTTACCGTGGATCACGTTCAAATACACAAAGCCCGGGACCCCAGGAGCTCAATAATGCTTCCGGAGAATCATCCTTGAGATTGCAAGGGGGCGATATTCACCGTGACTTGTACAAAATCAAAGCGCGCGCTGCAACTCCACGGAGAGCCCAGACTTTCTCTCATGCTGCTAGCCCACGGCTGGGACCTATCAATCAACCGTCTGTGCAGGATCAACTGGAGCCAGGTGGTTTTCGGAGGCAATATGTACAGCAACGGCAGGGCCTTTCGCGTCTGTCTAGTGTCGCTACTAACCCAGTCACGAAGAACTTCGTCTCATTTCTGGAGCTATATGGCAGCTTTGCTGGAGAAGACCTTGCAGATACCGATTCGGAGTCCGATGAAGAGTCGGCCGTGGACGAGGCTGATTCCCCAAGCGAGACACGACCATTGCTGAGACGTCAGAAAAGTTCCAAAAGATTCAAGAGAGAAGGGGATGCTGGCGATGTCAAGACATTTTTCACCCTGTTGAAGGCTTTTGTTGGTACTGGCATCATGTTTCTCCCCAAAGCGTTTCGAAACGGCGGAATTCTCTTCTCGAGCATCACATTGATCGCTGTTTCTATCATCACAAGCATTTGCTTTCGGCTGCTGCTTCAATGTAGGAAGCGGTTTGGTGGAGGTTACGGCGAGCTTGGAGAATCGATCGTCGGTCCAGCATTCCGAAAGTTGATCCTCGCATCCATCACGCTATCGCAGCTTGGTTTCGTCTGCGCAGGTCTTATTTTCACTGCCGAAAACTTGTTCTCCTTCCTCAACGCAGTCACGAAAGGAAAATCGACACCGCTTGGGATTAATGCTCTAATAGCTATACAACTTGTGCTACTTATCCCACTCGCGCTTATCCGGAACATTTCAAAACTTGGTCCTGCAGCCCTCTTGGCTGATGTTTTCATCTTGATCGGCCTCACGTATATCTGGTACTTTGATATTGCCCACTTGGCACAACATGGCATGCATCCGACCGTGGAACTATTCAATCCATCTAGCTTCACTCTTACAATTGGCTCCGCAATTTTCACTTTCGAAGGGATTGGACTGATCTTGCCAATACAATCCAGTATGAAGAATCCTGAGCACTTCAGCTACCTGCTGTATCTCGTCATGCTTATCATCACCGTCATCTTCACCTCCGTCGGTGTGCTGTGTTACGCTACTTTTGGAGACCAAACAAAGATTCAAATCATATCCAACTTCCCGCAGACTGATAAGCTTGTCAATGCTGTTCAATTCCTATACTCGATGGCGGTTCTTGTAGGTGGACCAGTCCAACTTTTTCCCGCGGTGCGCATTATTGAGCAGAAGATCTTTGGCGATCGTGCCTCTGGGAAGAAAAGCGCAACTGTCAAGTGGAAAAAGAATGCACTTCGGTCTGGGATGATCAGTATCTGCGCAGTTGTTGCGTTGCTTGGTGCTACGGACTTGGACAAGTTCGTTGCATTGATAGGAAGCTTCGCGTGCGTACCGCTGGTGTATATCTACCCAGCTTATCTACATTACAAGGGTGTGGCTTCAAGCCGCCATGAGCGATACTTAGACATCGGCCTGATGACGCTCGGTGTAGTAGCAATGGCTTATACTACAATAGTGACGGTCGCCCAGTGGATTGGGGCATGATCAAGCCCGATCGCGCTCATCTAGCCATAGAAAGAGCTGCTGGCTCTTTGTAGTCACGTCGAGTTGGGGGGGACAAGGAGACATTGTGCCTACGCGCACCAAAAGCATCGGCTTTTCTTCTTGTCGGACGACGGAGTCATCGAGGAGAATCTTATTCTTTCAATGTAAACACTGGGTGCTGCTTCTATGAAATTGGGGCTCAGCACCCGGGTCCTGACCAAATGGAGTGGTACACCAAGTAGTCGAAGATCCCATGAAGCTAAAGAGCCTGATATGTGTAATATATGGATCGCTGACAACGTTTGTCATCGACTATTTGAGTGTGAATGTGCACTCTCGGGTCATTTACCGTCCGTGATGTCGATCCCAAGCCGTCCAGCAAATCCATGCGTCTAAGCGTCTGCATTTCCCCCTTAGCAGCACGACAGCCAGCTGCCAACCGTAAGCAATTGCGCCACACTACGCCTTCGTCAAACTTTACTGTATTGAGTTTAGATTGGACGCGGGCAACGGGAGGCGGTCGCTCGACGTCTGAGTATTGCGACCTAATAGATAATTAAAGGCAGAGCTTAAAAGGTTCGCGTCGGTAAGTATGGTGGGAGAGGATGGTGACAATTGTGACTTTCTTGCGACGTTCGTGCTTTTGTGCCCTTGGAGTCTTTTGCGAGTCCAGTACTACCTTCTAGACTCATAATTGCTGTCGACCGCCAACAAATTGGCTATCAGTCAGGTCGCGCTGGGAGTTGTTCTGCAATACGCACGCGCTCGTCTTCAGGTGAAATGGCTCTGCGGCCCGACTCGTCGGGTCTACAGCAGACCGTAAATACTACATCGCCAGCACAGTCGAGCGCTGCTAACCTTTGACCAGCCTTCTGAACGCTACCATGACGTGCCACCAGAAGCATATCATTCGCAATATGGCCACGCTCCAGAAGTAGCGCCGCAGGAGAGCTATGCGTATGCTCTTTCGTCCCGAGATACCCTTCCACTACAACAACACCAATACCAGAGCCAAGACCAATACAGTCGGTATCAATACACTGAAATCTCGGGTCAAGCTGCGCCACACAGAGCAGAGCTACCTAACACTTTGGGGTTAGAGTCTGCTACTTATGCTAAAGACGGTCCGGTCCATGAGATATCTGCGAAGCAGGACGACACGCCTGGGCTATATGGTACTCTACCTCCGAGAACATATTGCGGTCTTAAGAAACGGACGCTCATCATCGTGACTGTACTTGTGATAGTGGTCGTTGTGGGTGCTGTCGTGGGTGCCGTAGCTGGAGTCTTGTCATCGCGAGGGAAGGACCCAGGCTCAGAATCTAACAGCGTGCGCTCATCTTGAACATCAAAGAAACCCTTTACTGATATCTTACGTAGGGAAACGGTCAATCTGGCGCAGGGACTCCGAACAGCACGGCTCTCAAGCCCGGGGACAGTTTCCGAGCCCTAGCAGCGACCTCCTGTGGAGGTGGTGATGATGCCCCTGCGAATGTGTACCTCACGTATCAGGACAAAGACGGTGGAATTAATATTAATTCATCACCAGAACGCTTGGGAGGAGATTGGCAGGAATGGGAAAACATCGTCAACGGCGATCAGGTAAAGGCAAACACGCCCTTGTCCGTGACATGCTGGACAAACGATCAGATCCACATACGGATCACCTATGTGCGAGCGTTAGATTCTGCTCTCACACAGGCGCGGGCAGAGTGTAATCTGGACGATTCCGGATGCCAATGGACTCTGGACGAAGCGTCCGAAGACGTTAAACTCCCAAATGCGAAGCAGTTCGGAATGAACTATCAGGCTGTTGATGGAACAGTAAATGATACATTACAGCTGTACACCATCTTAGACAACAGGCCGGCCCTCATCGGAAACGATTCATCTGGCCTTTGGCTTGTCCCTCAACAATTCACCTCAGACGACGCAGAAACGAGTGACGACTCACCAATTGCGGCAGCTGCCACCGATCTTGAGTCCCATGCGTTTTGGTTTAACACGGACGGAGGACTGCGCACAAACAACGCTGAGAATGCGGACGGCTCTGGGACCATCGCATATCTCACGGACAAGACGTTCACGGACGAACCGCAGATTGAGAGCGTTCCAGGGTCTCTAACCGCCTTCTGGGACTCTTCACAGTCTGCGTTCAAGATATACTGGCTGGAAGATGAACATCCTGTCGAGCTCACAGAGCCCTGGGGTGATGTTAACGGTGCTCAGGCCTCGAAGACGAGTGACGATGCTTGGATGGCACCAGACGCTGCTGTTGGACCTGTTGCAGCCACATATGGAAATGGCACTGCAAGACTGTTCTATCTGGTGTCCGGTCAGATTGCGGAGTTTGTTCGACACAACGGCACCTGGAGTAAGAACGACAATCTACCGAGTACGTCGTATACTTGAACTGGAAGGGGAATGTCAAGTCGATATTACGATAAGCAATCTTTAGAGTCAGGTGACTCTAGTGACTACGATTTCCTACGACCTTGAGAACACTTCCGTAACTACGATACACCCACCATGCCACGCCCGTCTTTCAACCTAACCCCAATCCTAAGAACATATCAAACGCCGTATAAAGGATGTCAGTGTATATGCATGAGCTTCGATACCCTCAGGATCCTCTTGATCTCGGCGTCGTCGGTTCCCGTTATTATTACCTCACTTCCAAGGCCTCAACAGATCAACATAAATACGTCTTCTAATAGGGCCGGGCAGTATAGTCGGATCGAGCATCAGCAGCATGCAAGGCGGCCCAAAGACTCTGCGGATCATAGGTCTTGATTAGTAGGCTAAGTACTGCTATAATCAGCCTGTTAGCAGCATCTAGAACGACGTTGGTAGGTGTTGATTACTCTTGTGCGTCACTGCTTGTTACGAGCTGTCGGGTCGTATTTGGGTCATGTCTACTTCGTATTGAGCCACTTGTTATCAGAAAGTAGCGTCCACCTTTGTAAGGTGAACACTCTGAAGATTCATCTGTGGCACAATACCCCCTGATAATCATCTTTAAAGACTGACAACGAATTGTGTGCTGAAATAGACAATGTCCAAGGAAATGCCAAATCTTCTATCCAGAATGTATCATCAACTCTTATTTAGATGCTGAAAGCCTAGTGCTCCAGCTGGTACGTACAGAGGAGGCTATGATAGCAACGTCTTCAGGTATGCTTCTTGACCTCTGAATATATATGTACCTCTTCTTGATCCCTAATTAGAATGACCGGTTCCACTTCTGTGTGAAGTATGGCAGGAAGGATATCTATCTACCATACTGCAATCGACACAGCCGTAAGTGCTAACGTCGTGATCCAGTAGACGCATTGAGTGATACCGCTTCGCGCAGCTGCAGAGTCATCGTCTGTGGATGTATTCGATGGATAAGCAGGCAGTTCTGGCTGCCGGCTGCCGGCTGATATGTTGCTTGGTGCTAGACAGAACGCCTTTGTGTATCCACCCGAGACCGTCGAGCTTCCATTGAGTGGCACGTCCAAACTTATTACTGCTACATGTGCCTGACGCACGAATGTATCGTATGCCACCACAATCTGAGCTGTGTCTAAATCGGGGCCCTCTAGCCGAACGCTCTGGAATCGAGTCGCCAGATACCCGTCTGGCATGTTCATATCGGGCAGGTTCGGAATCGTGCATATGTCGTTCCCATCCGTGAGATTGACCGGATCTCCGATGGAAATATGGTTTGGCAGCGTCATCCCGCATGCCGTCGCAATCTCGCTCTGACGGTATGCATTTTGGCACGAGCCAGGTGGAGGGGAGAAATTATTCAGCACCTCCAGGCATTCCTCGCTCAGCACTCCCTGACAACTTTCGTTACTGTCCATAGGATTCGTACTTGTTGCATTCACCAGGCCGAAATCATAAATGCAGGCCTGCGCTGAAGGTCTGTCAGTCACATTGGGAGGCGTAGAGATGGACTCTGGCCAGCTGAGAAAGGCGTAGGAGTACACCGCGCCACGTGTATCGTTCGATTCGACAGCCACACTGTAGTATAGTGGGAATGTGACGTCTTCTGATGTGCCGAAGGAAAATTTGAAGGAGCCCGTAGCATTGAAGGAGCCTTGGGAGATGTCAATGCTGTCAAATCCGCATGCGGAATAAGGTGGTCCGGTTGCATTCTGTGCTTGAGCGAGGTACAACAGAAGGGCTGCTGGGAGCCACGGCAGTTGAAGAAAATGCATTATTATCTGGTATACTAGTAGTTAGCATACATGTCTGCAGTGAGGGTCTCTCTTTGTTATAACATATCTGATGTTCGTTTATCACCCAGATCGGCGATGATCCATGACTGGGCTAGCTAATTACTTGTAGTATGGCTCTGCAATTATCCATGTAGTTCCAACAATCCAACAGCTGCACGTCAGTATCTGACATTTGCCCCATAATATCACGGACAGTTATCGCTGTGCCACAAGCGGGCACTGTTAGCGAACACAGCTCTTAGTTGTCCAACAGCTTACAATAATCGATACATAGTCCGCAGATAGTCTTTGTTTACATGTTTGATGTATGAGGTCATATCGTCCGTATGCAGTAGCATGCGTGATCGCTGATTCCGCTCATTTGTTCCTCGATACAGACCTCGCTATCTACAGGTCTGAAGCCTGAAGGGAACATCATCACCAAACTAGTTAAAGTTTGACGTACGCTATCTGATGACATGCATCCATCAGCATTTCAGTGTGCTGCGATATGCAGCTATGTCAAACTCAGTACAAACATGGTCGAGGCTGAACACTTATCAAAAACAGTTGCTTGATGTGTTCTCGGTGCATAATAAATTGCATGTGTATAGGACTTCATGTTGGAATGATGGCGGCCGCGCTGTTTTCCATTATTCTTTCAAGAATACTTGAAGTCGAATTCAGGCTGTAAATCGATGATTCAACTCATCGTTCATGGATGCGTCATTCTTCAATCTAAGCACAAGTGTGATCAGCATCGCGCAGAGAATGAATGAGTTCATGATGGGCAACGGTCACATGCAAACGTTCGATATGGTGTTGCCGCGAGCAGACTGCATAATTGATCGAAAAAGCAATCAATTCACTTTCGTATGAATACTCAATACTAAGTGTCCCGAAAGATAGCAACCATTAAAGCAGGTCTGGAGGAAGTCAAAAAGGGTCAGCCGATTGTCTGATCTTATATCAAGCGAGCCCCCAAAAAGCTTTGACCACCAGGTCATAGTGGATGTCGACGTCCTACCAACACAGGTTTTTAATGATTTCCTCACGTACTACACATCAATGTCTTTCCGCAAACGCAACGTCGCTGTCTCACGTGCTCCATCTGTACCCAGTATATCACCACCTGAACCACTCCTAGCAGCCAAGGATGCGTGGCCAAACCCAACAATACCCGGCGTGCGTCCTTCACCCATCGACGGTCGTCCTACGACGTCAACAGGTATTCTATCACTCGACGCGCTCCTTGCTGGCCACGCAGGCCTCGCGCTAGGTAATTCGCTGCTCATCGAAGAGAATGGCACCACAGACTTTGCAGGGACCTTATTGAGACTTGTGGCGGCTGAGGGCGTCACGCAAGAGCACAAGGTTATAGTTGTTGGCGTAGGAGAGTCATGGGGAAGGGAGCTGCCCGGGTTGGTCGATGTTTCCGATGAGAGTGGAAATTCGAGCAAGAATATGGAGAGGAGAGAAGAGGACAAAGAGAGAATGAAGATCGCGTGGCGGTATGAGAGACTAGGAGAATTCGGGGCTGAGAAGAGCAGAGGTGCGTCGTGTCTCTGCTATTCAATGTACATAAAACCACTGCGAACATATCAATCGTACCAGGCTAGCATCATGCTGACCACTTCAATCAAGGCCCAACCCCACAAGATCGCCTGCCATCATCGATATCCCCAGGATCTCCAGCACCAACATCACAAAGCGTATTCACACACACCTTCGACCTTGCCAAACGCCTCATAATGCCCTCTCCAAGCCCAATAAGCTACATCTCCATCCACTCTACATCTGAAAACCCCTTTCCAGCAATTCTCTCCGCCATCCACTCACAGATCCTGACCTCTCCCAATTCTGTGCACCGCATCCTCATCCCAACGCTCTTTTCCCCTTTCCTTTATCCCCCTGCCGCTGCACAGCCAACCCACGTCCTCCCCTTCATACACGCCCTCCGCGCCCTCCTCCGCCGGCACGCAAACACAATTCTCGTCACCACACTCCCGCTCAGCCTACACTCGCGACGAACAGGTCTCACGCGCGCCATCGAAACACTCTGCGACGGCGTCATCGAACTAAGCCCCTTCCCGTCACATACGCATGCCGAGACACTGGCTAGCAGCGGTGCGGCGACAAAGGAGGAGGACAAGCCGCAGGGAATGCTGAAGGTGCATCGGCTACCGGTCTTTCATGAGAGAGGAGGGGGCGGGAACGTGAATCTAGGTGAGGATTTGGCGTTCACGCTTAGCCGGCGGAAGTTCTTGATCAAGCCTTTTAGTCTGCCACCAGTGGAGGGTGATCTGGAGGCCCAACAGGGAGCAGGTGCGGATCTACAGGCGAAGGGTATGGAGTTCTGAAAAGGTGTAGAGACCGCCACACGGCGGATAAGGGCCTCCTACATGAATCTGGGCGCGATAATAGGGTATTTCGAATGCTATATGCCCAATATGGTCCTCCTAGATGCTCCGATGAAAGTCCGGTCCAAGCCGCATTCTCTGACAAACAGAAAGATCCACGATTCTGAAATCTAGATTTGTCAAACACATGCTCAACAACGTTCTACTTCCTCTCGAACATGTCTTCCAAACATACCAATATCTAGAACAAAGCCCTTCAAGTCCTACTAACCATCATTCCAGCGAGCACTGCAGCGCCAATAATCCCTCCATCACTTGCAGCCTTCAGCACGACTCTCTTTCCTTTATTTCGCGCCGAACCGTTCCGCACAAGCTGGTCCAGCCAATGTTGGCAAGTGCTTCTATACAGCGGGTAGCCAGCCATGGTCTTTCCCGTAAAGGCAACTACCATATCGCACTTTGGTTCTCCAGGTCCGGGATTTCCCTCCCGGGAAAAGCGATCGCCATTAAAGTCGTCCAAGGCTAGTTCCTCGACACATCCTAGTAGGCCTATGACTGCTGCTGCCACGAGAGCTGAAGCACGTGCTTGAACAGCGAGGGCAATACGACTCAGGAGTACGGCATGGTGAGGTGACCATGCAAATGCAGGATGTGAAGGCGGGAAGGTCGAGTTCAGAACGCTGGTAAGGAGTACGGGGTCTGCATCAGCGACGGAGGTTGCAAGAAAGTTGGTGGATATGGCGTTCTTTTCGAGTAGCGTAGGCGGAAATTCAAATTTGCTTGTTGCGTGCCTAGTGGTAATGTCGATGAAGGCGAGGCGAACCATCTCGCCAAGGTAACGTCCAGCGGTCATATATTCAAATGGTTGAAAGCCAGGGACTTCAGAGTTTCTACTAAGATCATCATCCCAAGACGTGATGACACCTAACTTTTTCATCGGTTCGTCAGCGCCCCGAATAGTCCATTCGGTGTTGATAACGATCTTGGAGTCTTCGTAGTCGAAGTTCTTGGGGAGAGGTGCCGCTCTTCTCTTATCGTCATGTAGATACTTCAATTTCATCGGTATAGTGGCATTGCATCCGGTGCCTACAATAAGTCCCATGGTTGTCTTGCTATTTGTTGTTGTTCTCGTAGCGTAGGCAAGAGCGCTGAACGTAGCTACGGTATCATTCGTGATGGCAGCGATCTTCAGGCGGGGAAGCCTATGTATCTTCGATACTCCGGTTCCATTACTGTGGATGACGACGTTCCCGTTGGCGTCAGCACAGTGCCGAGAATAACCGTCGAGAAGAAGGTCTCCTAGGCTAAGTCCTTGTTTGATAGCGAAGCCTTTGCCCATACCCATCAATATACCCTCATTCATTGATGTTTGTCTGAAGTAATTGTCAGGACCTGCCTCGATCATAGCAGGATAGTGGTGGATAGGTCAGACAGGCAGTACATACGCTAAGGGGAAACTGAAAGTGATACCAAGTGGAAGTTCTTTACCGAACAAGTTCTCATCCGAAGCATCGCTGAGGGCATCCGTCAGGACTTCGGCTATGCAGTCACCAATCCAAGAGAACAGGTCTTCGGCCTGATCCATCTTTAGGTGATCAACAATAGGCCATGTCTTATCATGTGACTTTATAATCTTGGCCGTCGATACATCTTCGGCCTCAGCAATGCGCTGAAGTGGTATGTTGCCCAGGAGCTCGATGATACCAACACGTAGATTCGTGCCACCAACATCGATAGCAAGATAGCGACCAGATTCCAGACCAGTCGGAAGAACAGTGACAGGGGTGGCCAGAAAATGTTCCGTGGAGGTTTTTGCCAGGTCTCGGTACGTTGCAGTGAATTCAGTGCTAAGCTCGTGCAAATGTGTTGTATTCAGAAACCAGGTCAGCGGTCTGACGGCCTCGTCGAGTGCAGTCTGGTCGTACGTGATGGCCTGGGGGTCAGCCATGGCAGCGTGCTCTATGACTAGACCTAGATAGAACAAAGAATAGTCGCGAACACTAGACAGCCACTCCGGAGAGATTTGCGATACCTCGTGCAGTACTGAGGCTATTAGATATGTACCTCCAGTGAAAAGAGTCTATTATGCAAGGCGGAAAGATTATTGCCCGACTCGGGCACCAGCTACTAGGTATCCTACTTTGTGCGGCACTTGGAGTCGGTACCAGCGAGGGACGAGCTGTGGACGATAGTAGAGACGAGAAGCAGCGCGATCAAGGAGATCTGTGGCGTGTGTATCTGGTGTATCTCCTCGCAAGCCGTTGTTGTATTCAGGCGGTATCAGGTTGGTTGCATCCACAAGGGTCCTTTAGGTCCGTCTCTGGGCAAGGATAAGAATCCCGTCCCCGTCCCAGTCCATTACAATAGTGCGCCGTTCTGGTCTGAGTGAGGTCAATAATAGGTGGACCACGCGCTGGGCGGCTAAGTGACATGCCCAGTCACCACTACTACGGCCTCATCAACTGTGCGTTGACTGTCTTGTGCTTTGGTGTTTTGGAGTGGTAGACTTGACACAAGCACGGACGATCTATGGTTGTATGGCGTCGCCGTTGTGGTAAAAGAGTAATTAGCGAAGTAGCATAGTTCGTCCATGGTTATTCCATTCTGCCTGACTAGAGATGGGGACGTGGCTGTTTGCCTAAGCGTATTTCAGCAGCGCCTTCGAACTGGCGGGGCGGAGATGGGAGCGGCCAGGACAGTGAGGGAGAGCGTCCAAGACTTGGAGAGGATGAATGATGGATGGAGAGAGCGCGCACAGGAAAGCTGGTGAAGTCACAAGTCACATCCAACCATGAATGCATGTGGTGGTGGAAGCTACATACTGGAAGATACAAGACGAAGCTATCCGGATCCAAGGCTCAAGGTTTATATGCGCGCATGGATGCTGCAGCCATTCGTCGTTAATCCATCATACCTCGCGTCGCCCTCGTTTCTGCTTCTACATCTCCAAGTCTCGAATTCCTCTACTCAGCAAACCATTGCGCTACCCCTTCGAATTCTATAATTACTCTGTTCTCGTCTTTCGCCTAGCCGCAAACCCGCACTAGACGTTCGAACATGAACGAGAAGCAAGCTTCTTTACCGCAGCCGGCGGCTTCAGCGATCAGCCCAAGAAGGTCATCTCGTGGTCGTTACCATGTCGCCACGTTCGGCATAATAGCCATCTTCTTCCTCTTTACCAGACATATATATCACTGGAACATCTCAAGCTATCGCTCGAGTGTCCGCAGCTGTCATGGAACCTTTCAGCCAGAGCCACGCATTACAGCTCGGAAGGTTGCTCTCGAGGCACATGTAATGTAACTTCTATCTCCAATACCAGCATGTCCAGCTATCTTCGTCACTAATTTCGCATAGGTCAAAATGCCCCGACGCTCGAGACTGTCTCCAAAAACTCATCCTCCCTGTTATGGCAAATGTGTCTGACAAGGTAGACTTCACTCTCTCCTTCATAGGAAAGGTCACAAATCACGACGATGGAGTTGAATGCATGCATGGGCAGACTGAATGCTTAGGTAACATTATCGAGTTATGTGCTGCCGATGTCTACCCTGATCCTAAAAGCTACCTCCCCTTCACGAATTGCCTATCACAACGATACAGGGACATTCCGAATGAAAGTCTACTGAAGGACTGTACTATGGAGTACGGCCTAGACTTTGACAAGATCAACCACTGCATGAGTAAGGATGACGGCGCCTATGCAATGGGATTGTTGAGGGACAGCGTTCAAAGGAGCAAGGATAACGGTGTCAAGACTAGCTGCACAATACGACTAGAAGGCAAGACTAGATGTGTAAGAGACGGTGGCAAGTGGAAAGATTGCGAGGGAGGTAATAAGCCCAAGGACCTAATCGAAGAGATCGAAGAGCTATATAATAGCTCGTCTTAGAGACGTATATACGTATAGGTCGGTTCTCTTACAAGCATATTACTGGCGTTCGAACAGGTAGCGGTGGCATGGGGCTCGGCGAAGCAAATTTGCATGTCGGAGGCTTCGTAGCCGCAAGGGTATATTCATTCATCCACAGACAAATCTCGTTCCATCTTACTGAAATTCGCCAAACTCGCCATCGTCAAATCCCAATTCTTTGGCTTCCTTGTTCGGGTCCGTCGACGCACTTCCATATTGCATATTCCGACTCCTCCTCCTCCTCTCACTTTTGACAGCGCTCGCGCTGGGTGGTGGTGGTATCAACGGGAATGCTCCACCACCACTCGTAAGCGGCGGCTTCGATGTGAACTTTGACAGACCTTGATCCTCACCACCACCAGTCGCCGTCATCGTACTCGATCCTGTATTCCTCCCTCTTCTCCCTCCAATCTCTACTTTGATTGTCTCTCCCTCTTTCAAACTGTAATCGCGCTTCACGTCACTTTTCTGCTCTCCTGGCCCTCTACTTGACCCGGGCTCAGCTGCGCCCTTCTTCTGCAGCCCAAGCACCCTCTGCGCATCTTGCAGCGCAATGCTGAAATCCACTGCTTCAGCTCGTTCCTCGAATCCCAGCCCCAGCACTGCCTTCCTCCCATCGCCGACTACTCGGATCGCAAAGAAGCGCGACGAGTCAACCGCCGGCTCTACTGCGCCTTCGTCTGTATACGGCACCGCGGCGAACAGATTCCCGCTACTCGCTTCTTCAAGTAATACGTTCACTGTGACTTTCTCTTCTTGTGCATGATCTGCCGTGCTAGCGCTGGCTTGTGTGGGGATTGCAGTCTCGACAATGCGTAATCGTGCAGTGAAGATCTCTTGCGCTGTAGGATTGCCCACAGCTGTCCATTGCGAAGCTGAGTGCCCTTTTGTGCTGCGCAGAGGTGGGATTTGGTAGATGTGGGCGCGGGGGCAGATGTAGAGGACGCGTTGGATGGCGGTTGCGGGAAGGGCTGCACCTGTTAGTGGGTCCGTATCCATGGCGTGAATGTGATGGTGTGAAGAGAGGGAAGATGTTCAGCCAAGGTGACTACCGAGCTTCGATTGAGATCTGAAGTCTTTTCGGTGGTTGGGGGTGACTGTGGCGGGCGGTGGTGCTGCTATCCAGATATCTCTGAGGGGGCTGCGGGCGTCGACGTATTACTAGGTAGCTACTTGGCCCGACGCTACGTGTTGACTTAAAGACAAGAATGAGCCAGTTGTTAGCCTACAACATGGCATGATCTATAATCAACAGCTTTTCTGGAGTTTTTATCACATTTCCAGGGATACTCATAACTCCTGATATGTTTAGATGGAGATGGGCATTGTCGATATGTGGATCAAGAAACAAAAGGGTAGAGTGATGCTTAATGAATGCTTGGGGTATAGATCATAAAAAGAGGGGCACAGAAAGGCATTATTGCTGGCGCGTCCAGATGGACATACCATAATTACTTGATTGTTGTTGCTACATGCTAATCAAGCGCATTCACTATTATCATCTGTTTGTCGATGAGACTCTATTCCTTCTTCCGTTGATGTAAATGTATCGAGCGTCTATACTACTCTATATCTCTAATCTATCAAGCATGTTACGGTCATGTCACCTTACACACCAGCTTCGCCTGCCTTGTATTGCTTGAATCCGTCCTGGGCCGCGTCCTTTACTGTCACCTTGCCTTCACTGTCCGTATGTGTTAGCATAAGCATACACGTGGTCGAGGGATACCTACACAATCTCCTTGACTTTGGCCGCAATAGACTTGAAGTCTGCAAATACGGTAAAGGGGATCTCTTCGCGCACACAGTAATTGATAAGATCCTTGCCCTTCTTTGCGAACAACAGATCACTTTCACGCGCAGCAGAAAGATCCGACACACCGTCCCCAGCGTAGAACATGATGGGTCGGATGTCGTCAGGTAGCTGGCCGTACGGACGCAGAGTAAGGGACTTGTCATGACCAAATCCGCTCTCGTCATGGAATTGGATATCCCAACCATTCTCCTCGTCAATTTTCTTTCCTGGTCGGGCCTTAACGTCGTTTGCTACAACTTCGATCTTCTCCGAATCGGGTCCGATAAGGTTCTTCAAGAGCGCACGAATGACGGGGACCATACCAGACGAGAGTACGACGACTGGGACATTGTTCTCAAGAGTCCACTCGAAGAAGTCCTTGAAGCCAGGGTCGAGCTTGATGTTCTTGACTAGCAAGTCAATACACTCCGGAAATGGGGCTGTGACACTGTCCAGCATCTCCTGGAACGAATCTCTGAAGGTGATCTTCCCTTCGAGGGTGTCGATGTTGCCCTGACGGCGCTTCTCGACTCCATAGCCAATATTATCAGTCTGTCCACATTAGACATTGATGCAATTGTACAATTGATCAATACCGATTACCATATAGTCATTGCCTGTGAAAGGTTAGATTGTCAAAAGTCTACGGCGCATTTGAGATGCTATGATGCTGGCAAGGCCACTGACTGTCCTGTAACGTGATCGTTCCATCGAAGTCTGTGAAAAAGATTGCTTTTGGGTTTGTCTTCATAGCCGGAAGATCTTGAATGGACCCCATGATGGTTATATATAATTATTGACGCAGAAATTCAGTTTTATCTGGTCTTAGATAATGGAGCCAACGACAGAACTTCACTAAGCACTAATAATGATGTTTGAGGGCTGAGTTTGCATTTGGATGACCGTGAACTTCAATGAAGAGGCAAGCCAAGCCAACCCAACCCACCAGCTGGGCAAAATCTACCCAAGTACCGGCAGTACTAATTAGTGGGCGGATCGGATGCCGTTCCGTAGCTCGGTTGTTGCAAAAGTCTGGTCCAACACCGCAATTCATTTTCGCCGTAGTGTATAGAACGAGCAAGTCATGCGGCCCTTGGTCCAGTATGGCTCTCGTTCCACCAAGAATCTCAGTTGCTTCTCCATAGTGACAGGGCGAGCGCCACTGGCACACTTGAATCCCGCTCGCGCGACGAATCCTCCACCATCTCTTCGACGCCAATTTAGAGCTCTCTCATCACGGCCGCAGATACCAACGCCACTTGCAGCACTCTGGCAACGATGTCCCACTGATGCGCAGAACTTTCGCGCCTTCCACGCCTCTACGCGTGCTCTCGACGCCGACAGTAAGAAGCAGGAGGTGGAGCCAAAATTAGCAGAGGAAGCATTAGAATCTGATCGGGACAGCACCAGGGAAACCACTCGTGACTCGCCGATAGACGCTCCCATCTCATCAATTACCCCTAGCGCTACCTCTCCAGCCTCTGAAGAGAGTCTTCCTTCTAGTAGAGATCAGCAAAGATGGGATTCGTCGAAACGCCTAGCCCAGCTCATGGAGGAAGCTCAAGAACGAATTGCCATCCTTACACACAAGGTCAACAATTACACTGGAACAGACTACTCTGGTATACAAGAGCTCCGTCAGCAGATAAAGGAGCAAGGTAGGCTTAGATGAACTCAGGGCAGGTCCGCAGAAGCTGATTGGGCCGTTCAGAGGACGAAGTCAAAGCCAGGAGAGCCGCAATCGTTGGAGCAAAGCACGCCCTTGATGCAGCATTTGCTCAAAAAGCTACGTCGCAAAAGGAAGTGGTCGGACTGCTTGAGCGCAAGCATTCGTGGTCAGACTCAGATCTGGAGCGATATATGTCGTTGGTGAGATCTGAGCACTTAAACGACCAAGCTGTTCAAAATGCAAAGGACAAGGTATCTCAAGCAGAGCGAGATCTAGAGGAGGCGCGAGCCCAATTGGAAAAGGTCGAGAGGAAGCAGTATCACGAGGAACAGATATGGAGTGATACAATTCGACGAAACAGCACGTGGGTTACCTTTGGCCTTATGGGTTTCAACGTACTAGTACTCCTCGCTTCAATTGCCTTGCTTGAGCCTTGGAGACGGAAAAGATTAGTCCGTGAGATTCGATCTGCTCTCGAAGAACACCGACCAGTCTTGATATCCACCAATGCAGAACTACCAGCCCATACACCTGACACCCCAGTGGATTCAGTCGTTGAATCATCGAATGTTACTGTGGAAGAAGTCTGCGGTGTAGAGATAGACTCCAGAGGAGCAGAGGCCGATACTGATAGAAACATCCAGACGAGCCCGATCATCGAACCCAAAGCTGATCCCGAGCCAACGCCAGATACGGGAGAAGACGAACCGCAAGTAATTCTCAATGATGCAGCAACAGCTCGTACACCGTACGACCGAGTGGAAGAGCTCAAGTCCTTTGTTGCAGATCTCTTCAGTGAAGGTACTGTCACTATACGGCAGGTAGATATTACAACCTGGGTCTTAGAAGGCTTCACGGTGGGTGCTGCTGTGGTCGGTCTCCTTGTTGTACTCATGAGATCTACATCCTAAACTAGTATCTATAAGCACCTTGTACATACCAAGAACACTCACTGTATTCTAGCTCTCAAAATTGACGTATTATTTCACGGACCCTTTTTACTCCAATTGTCACACAATTAGGCACGATCATCCCTTTATACCTCAGAACAAAGCGATTTAGGTTTTGCTAGCACTCACACCCGTATGAGTGTGGCGCATGCGTGCTATGGGAATCGTGGGCTGGATGGCTTCGAGATTGCAATTCTGCAAGTAATCAACAGCTACGAATTCAAAATAATCTCGAGATTCACGATTCACGATTCACGGTGCAGATGTGGCTCATTCTGTTCACAAGGTGAAGTTCTGCTTGAAGATACCTGATCTGATCAATGCCGGCCTTGATGATGTTCATGCATGGCATCAGATCATCTTAATGAAGTTACATACCCTCAGATCAGATGCTGCTAGGATCAGCTTGCAAAAGTAGCCCACCAACTGAGCATCTCCCTAAGTCTGCTGTCTGAGCACATATGAATCTCTCACTGCCTGGACTATGCCACTGGAGCTGGAGGATGGGTTATGCTTGGTGCTGGCGTATGAGTAATACGATTGTGAGTGCCCCTTTATGCAAGCTGGTCTATAAGGATATTCGTCTTCTACTGGGTAAGATCTGCCGACTACCCTACTCAGAGCATACTTCTAGCATAATCGCAGCGGTTTTCATAGCTCTAGATAAGACACTTATAGATCTCGATGCACTCCATTTCGGTAGAAAGACCACTTTCATTGTTCTTAAGTTAACAAATCTTTCTTAACTTTTTCATAGGTTCCACCTAGATCTCCGATCTTTTCCACATCTGCATCCATGCTTGGAAGACCCTTGAAAGTGATGGCAAACGTACATCCAATCTTTGGAAATACCTTGCCGAGGTAATCCTTCACAGGTCAGTGATGTGAAGTTCACTGACATGCCTCATTAGGGTTTTATTGATGGCATTGCATTACATTCGTACCCTCATTTTGGATATTGCTTGATGTGGTAGCTCTTGAGCTTCACAAACTGGTCGAAGCCAAACTTGCTAAGGGTTTGGCCCTTACCAGAATTCTTCCATCCAATCCAAGCGAGGTCCTATAGTTTGTCAGTTGACGTACTTAGGCTGAGAGAGCAGTGCGTAGAACTTGAAGACAGGGCTTGGGGACAACAGAACAGTATATACTTACTGGGCTTGGAAAATCGGCACGATTAACAAAGACCGTTCCAGCTTCTACTTCCTCAGCGATCTCATTGCCCTTGTCGGTATCTTTGGTCCAGATGCTGGCGGTAAGACCAAACTGACTATCATTCATGAGCTTGATAGCTTCCTGATCACCTTTCACCTTCATGACAGGTATCACAGGTCCAAAGGTCTCCTCGGTCATCACCACCATGCTGTGGTCAACATTGGTGAGAAGGATGGGTGCGACATAATTGCCATCCCCTGGTGGGCTCGTGAATGTCTCGTTTTCAGGGGTCATGTCTTTTGCGCCCTTCTCTAATGCGTCTTTGACATGCATACGAATGGTCTCGACCGATCTCTTCGATACAACAGGCCCAATATTGGTGTTTTTGTCGAATGGATCTCCCAATTTGTAGCCTTTTAACACTTCTTGCACAGCCGACACAAATTGGTCATGGATTTTTTCGTCGACATATATCCTTTCGAGGCTGCAACAACTCTGTCCAGAATTGAAGATTGCTCCGTCAACGATCTCGTCAGCAGCCCATGCCACATCGACATCCGATCTAACATATGCCGGGTCTTTCCCACCCAGTTCGAGGCCCACCCGGACTGCAACTCGGTCGCTAGCAGCCCGTTGTACAGCCAATCCGCCGGCAACCGAGCCAGTGAAACATACCAATTGAATTGCAGGTGCACGTATAAGTGTCTCTATCTGAGTAAACGACCCACTGTGGAAATATTGTATGATGTTGTCAGGTAGCCCGGCCTTCTTGAAGATAACGGCAATTTGCTCCACGACGGTTGGCGTTTGAGGGGATGGCTTGAGGATGATAGAGTTCCCGGAAAGTAGCGCCGGGATTATGGAATTTATGAGGATCAGGTAGGGATACTACCAAAATAAGCCCATCTGTACTGACTAGATAGCAAGATGGAAAGACCTACATTCCAAGCGAATAGCACCAATACAGGACCTATTGGCACTTTCTTAATGTATCGCTTAAACCCCTTCTCGGGCTCCCCATCTGTATCACTCAAAGCCTCGTCGCTGATCTTCAGGAGGTATCTACCACGAGCAACAGCAGTGCTAACTTCTTTGGCGGTATACGCGATGGGCCTACCCATCTGTTCAGTCAACTCTTTCGCCAGCTCATCTTGCTTTCCCTCTAGCAACGCAAGGGCAGTCCTGACAATAGTTTGTCTCTCTTTAAGTGGCGTCTTACGCCATGACTGGAAGGCTTCAGTCGCAAGCTCAGGAATTGCCTCGATATCAGCATCACTTAAGCCACTACGTGTAGCGACGGGCTTGTTCGTGACAGGAGAGATGGTTGTGATTGTCTCAACAGACATAGTTGCTGAAGCAAAAGGTATGCTTGATTTATGTCGTCGCTCGGGATGCAGATTTGCTCGTGATTGAATATCGATGTCTCAAGCCAAGATTGCGGAGGTGAGTGTGAATTGTTGACACTGACGTAACTTTCAATTGGAAGGTGCCATCAGCAGCTGGAGGGTCTCCCGGTCCTGCCCCGCAGTACCCCCTCCCTGAAGCTGCAAAGCTCAAAGACATGACTAGTAGTACGCCGTTAATGATCACATATGCGCTGATAATATCTCGACTAACGTGCATCCTAAGATTTCCTCTTCGTGCTCAAAAGGGTTCGTCACAACCTAAAGTCGAACAACAAAGTAAGCATAAGTCGACTTATTCACTTGATCAAAACTATAGACGACACCTATACCGACACCTTCTTATCATGTGACACTACTGCAGTAAGCACCACGCAATACTAATGGCGGCAGCATGTTGATCGAGAGCAGAACACGAACCCGAGCGCAACCCACGACACGATAAGATGCAAGAAGAGCATGGAATCACATTGGCACAGCACCAGTCCAACATAATCATGAAGACGATGACTGTGCCTGTGACTGGTGTCTGTTAGAAAACACGAAGCGGTTGTCGGCCAGATCATGTATTCATCCATGTGATTATTCTACACAAGGCTATTATCCATTGCTGCCTGCCCATGTCAGACATTCTCTTTCGCTTAGAGAGTCCAAAGTACAAACGAAACGGTTAGCGATGGCCACTAATCATTGTCTTCACCTTCTACGTTCCGACATTCGAAGGTAACTGGACCAGTGTCAACACCCCTTACGATATGGAAAGACTTGTTGTAACAACAAAATAGACCTTCTCCTGGCGTTATTAATGGAAATGTATCTTTTGGGCAGGCACTAGAACAATATGGAAGTTTCCAATGCAGGAGGACATAGCAGGGGAGCACAGACGCGGTTCGCCGCATGATCTACATGATTTCTCACACAAATTCCGGGCAAAAGGAAACGACACCATCGACTCTGGCCACCGGCGAAGACAGAGGCAGAGAAAGGTACGCGAGCGATGCTCCACTTGGTCACGATATGAACAGTGGTATGAGCAGGGATAGGACCAGTCGCTAATATGCATGGATGTGATTAGTAGCGGCTTGATGGCAACGGCGTGCAAAGCGCGTTGTAGTGGCTCAGCGTAATTGTAATATGTACATAGTACATAGTAATGCCTTCTATGCCTGTGCATATCTTAGCTACGAAAGACACGGCGCTTGTAATGTGGCATGAACCAGGGCTGCGGCTCCTTCATGACACGCAGTGAGAATGAGTGGCACAGACTAATTATGATCTAGGTAGCTCTACGTTGGTGCAAGAGACTCTTGCGGGGAAGTGCAGAAGGAGGGGGGGAGGGGGACAGGGAGTGAGAATACACGAATGCACGCAGCACCACACACATAGATGACCAGACCATAATAACACTCCTTGCATGCTATGGAGAAAGATTGACCTCCAGCTGGCCCGCTACGTCTGAATGGCCTGAAATAAATGGTGGGTGTTGATGATAATGATGCTCTGGAAGACTCAACCTAGCCCGGTACCCCATATTATGTGTCCCATGCCATGTACCCTGGGTACTCCATGATCCAATCCCTCGCGTTATTATTGTTATGCCCCTAAGGTTTGTTACATCTTCTATATCTGCTATTGCCAGGCACTCAGATCTGAAGACTGAACCAAGCCAGCAAGACTGCTCATTTTCAAAACACCAAACTTCCCTCCTGGACTCTCCCAACCTCTATATACAGCCCTATCCATCGAGCTCGTAGGATAGTATTGTCGGTACAAAGTACATCTACGGTACATCCATTTCGTTCGTGGGATATTTCCAGCTCCACCCCCGCCTCCTACCCACATAGCGTCCCGAGTCAGCGCTTGGACAAGCCGTGGCTGAGACTAATCCATCCATACTCATGCCGTTCGCATGCTCTCTTCAACTGCTCACCATGACTTTCCCCCGGCCCTCGGCCACATTCATATTCCGTCCTCAGGCCCAGGTTCACTCGGCCATGACCATGTGGATGGACATGCATACTTCGCTCCACTCCATATGGCTCATGCCGGCTTCGATGTCCCTGCACACTCCTCTCAGCACTCTTACCAATTCGAACAGCATCAGAAACACCCAAGACCCATTGAAAATGCCTTCGTAAAGCATCGCCAATACCCATACTACCTAGAGTTGGGGTCAGGACCTGGGCTTTTAGCAGCAGCAGGGCCTCAGACTCTCGGAAATGTAATCATGACACAGGCCCGAGCTGGAAGAGCCATGGCCGCAGCCTCTGTACGTCGCCGGATATCCCGAGCTTGCGATCAGTGCAACCAACTTCGAACGAAATGTGATGGCAAATCCCCATGCGCTCATTGTGTTGGTAGGTCAAGCCTTGTTCCCAAATCCCTGGTCAGAGCGAGAGGAAACAGCGAGCGCGGTAAATGTGCTAATCCCTTGGAAGAGTTCGTTTTGACGTGCGAATATGTTCGCGAACGAAAGAAGCGCGGGAAAGCGTCACGAAAGGACATTGCTATTCAACAGGCGGCAGCCGTAAATGCTACCGTGTCTACGTCTGGTTCAAAACACGATGGAACATTCCAAACGAGTCCCCGTGCGACAGCATGCTCTTCGTCCGTTGACCAAGACGGCGACGAGGTTGCCTTTCGTGACAGTTCTGCCGCTCCAGAGCAAGACCGCGACTTACCTTCACAACTTCTACATCAAAGCAGGTCACGAGGTCCTTCCAATGACCATGACCGATCGTACAACGTAACTTCGCCTGTGTCTCGATCAGTCAGTCTATCAGGAGCTGACAGTATTCCTGTGGGTGGTATGCTACAACGTCACCATCATCATCCCCAATCTCATCAGATGTCCAACGTAGACCCTCGACTATCGAACGATGTTTCGATGGCACTAAACGGGTACGGTCATCTTGAAGACTTTTCTGGGAGTATGATGAGTTCACATGCAGCTGTCAACGAAGGGCACAATGATCAATCCACTACTGGATTTATCACCAATTCGGTTATGCGCAAAGAACACACCCATGTGTATCCAGAAGATCCATATATCATCAGTCCTTCGAGAGAGATACAACACCAGAACGTCTTCCAATTGCCACCAGGCGAATCGCCAATATCGACAAGCTTTCTCAAGAGCGCCTCTACAGGGGGGTCTCCCGCCTGGTACAATATAGGCTCCCCATCTACAGGAATGTACGGAAATACAACCCACATTCCGACTCAAGGCCTTCGATACCCGGTCCTCCAACCTCTCTTGCCTCACCTCAATGGTCTACTACCAACTTCAATATCCTGTGATCTGCTAGAGCTGTACTTTCAAAGCTCGTCGTGCGCATTCATTCGGCCCTTATCCCCATATGTACTTGGTTACGTCTTACGCAAGCGATCCTTCCTTCGTCAGATGAATCCCCGAGCATGCAGTCCAGCTTTACTTGCAAGCATACTGTGGATAGGAGCGCAGACCAGCGAGTCCCCATTTCTTACCACTCCACCGTCAGCTCGTGGCAAGATCTGCCAGAAGCTGCTTGAGCTCACCATCAGTCTACTCAGGCCCCTCATTCATTCTCCGGTTGCTACGAATGACACTGCTCCCAGCTACGCTGCAAACACGGTCGTCAATGGGGTCGCATTAGGCGGCTTTGGGGTTGCCATGTCTGGTCAATCTAGCGAGATAAATGGCTCTCCAGGTGCTGCTGGTAACTTGGACGACGTTATAACTTATATGCATTTGGCAATTGTAGTCTCTGCAAGTGAATACAAGGCAGCCAGTCTTCGATGGTGGAATGCAGCATGGTCCTTAGCACGTGAGCTAAAACTCGGACGCGAGCTTCCTCCAAATACCGTCGTGGTACATGACTTACACCCTGAACAGCGTGAAGATGATGTACCTGGCGGTATCGAAATCGATGTATCTGATATAGGACATATCCAGGATCAACCGGGATGCTATTCTGAAGAGGAGCGTGAAGAGCGACGAAGAATCTGGTGGCTTCTCTACATCATGGACAGACATCTGGCTTTATGCTACAATCGGCCCCTTTTCCTCCTAGACTTAGAGTGTGATGGATTGTTACAGCCAGTCGATGACTGTGTGTGGCAAAGTGGAGAGTTCTACATCCCAGAATCCAGCTCGACAGATCCAAATTCAAACTATCTTAGACAACGAGGACCGACATTTCACTGTACTGGACACAGTATCTTCGGATATTTCTTGCCCCTCATGACAATATTAGGGGGCATAGTCGATCTTAATCATGCCCGCAATCATCCTCGATTCGGACTAAGAAATCGCAACGGCCGTGAATGGGACGAACAGGCCGCTGAGATAACACAACAGCTTGAAGCATATGAGCACAGCCTTCAGCACTTCGAGGAACGATTCTGTGGTAGCCTCAAGCACGACGAAGCTGCGAACGGTAGCAGTCATAATGCCGAAGTGCACAGTCCCTCTACTCATTCTATTCACTCCTCCAGCTCCAGGACTACCGACCAAATATTGCAAACCAAGATTGTCGTCGTCTATGGCACCCATGTCATGCACACACTTCATATACTGCTTAATGGCAAATGGGACCCAATCTCACTCCTTGACGACAACGACCTGTGGATCTCATCACAAGCATTTGTAACAGCTACGGGCCACGCGGTCGATGCGGCAAAGGCCATACGCAACATATTGGACTGTGACCCAGATCTAAGTTTCATGCCTTTCTTCTTCGGAATCTATCTACTGCAAGGGAGCTTCTTACTACTTCTGATTGCAGATAAGTTACAGGAAGGGGCAACTCCCAGTATTGTTGAGGCTTGCGAAACTATCGTCCGCGCTCATGAAGTGTGTGTCGTTACACTTAATACAGAATATCAGGTGTGTCATCCAATTCACTTGTCACCTGAGCATGCTTCCATATTGCATCTCTTCATTGGAGGCAACTGTGCGATCGGCACATCTCTTGTTCTATCATTGCTGACTTTTGACGTAGAGGAATTTCCGAAAAGTCATGCGGTCCGCTTTGATGCAGGTTCGCGGGCTAGGCGACTCAGGGGAACAACAGTTGCGGCGACGCGAGGTCTTAGCTTTGTACCGTTGGACAGGTGATGGAAGTGGACTCGCGCTATGATCGAAACCATGGCTATATTACCATCATATGGAAACGTCATCATGCTCCTACAGTCATGATATATTAACGATAGATACACTGCATATTCATGCGGTAAATGAGTGATAGTGATACGATTTCGGATGGATCCGGTAGGCCCCCAGAAGCGCAAATGATGGGCCTAATCAGGCCGGTGCATTTTCTCATTCTCATTGTCTACTACTAGATCCTTCTTTCACTCTCATGTACTATAGTGTTCGATATACCCAGGGTGGGTTGTCGTTAGTGTGAACGCAAGCTGAGCACACCTGTACCAATATCAATAGCATGGTGGCATGGATGTTATGGCATATACATGGGTGCGAATGTTTGTTGGCTGATTCTGCGTCTTTTGTCGAATAACAACAGTCTGCCAAAGATATGAAACTGGTCCACGGAAACAGTCTAGGAGAGTTGAACGTGAAGAATTATATTCGAATATCGGTTTGCACCCTGTAAACATGAACTCCGGAATCTGCAATGAGATCAAAATATGGGCGTGGAAACGATCAACGACTCTAGACTATAACTCGAGCAGCAGTAATTTTAAACATATCCAACGGTCCGCGACCCGCTCTAGGCCAACCCAATGCATATAATAGCTTAAGAGATGTGACTTACTTCACCTCCAATAGTAGTGGCGTATAATGTTTTGCTGACCGCAACGACCCGTTACCTATAACCACCCCCCCCAACCCTATCGTGCCTGTGAAGATCTCGGCATTCTATGACTCAGCCAATAGCTATGGTACATTTCTCCAACTAAGGGTAAATTAACCTGGTACCGATCTCTTCTGGAAACAGAGGACCCACCAAAGAGTGCTTTCCTCGTGGCATTCGTTGCCATCGCCAGGACCTACCACCCGCTCGCCCTAGACTCAACTTGACACTCCCGGGCATGGGGATGTACAGCTGGAATTTAGCCTAAAATCGCATACTGCTCATGGGACAGCCAGGGCACCCAAAGCAGCGAGATGACTAGATCCATAGAGGACCGCCAATATCCAGTACCAGTTCTCTTCGCATGAGTTACGAGTCACAGCCTAGAAAAAGGCTTGCAGAGTGCCAGTATGACGGCTGTAACAGGCATATGCATCCATCCTGATAAGAGATTGTTCACCCCTGAATAACATTCTAGCATCTAGAGGTGGGAGCAGTAACAATTTGCTGGTGCCCTAGGAGCAATCACAGGATGAGGATGTGCGAACCGCTCCCGTTGTTCTCACCAGTTGCAGGCCTTTGTCCTGTCGCGCAATAGGGCTTTGCCAGGCAGCTGCTATATTTTGTTTCATATTAAGTCACGTCCGGTCAGCACAGCGTGCGTCCAGTGGATCTTCTTATATTCCGTGGTACAGGGTGCCTTTCGATCGCCAACCTGAGAAGGTTGTCTACTTCGTATCAAAACTCAGGAGCCGTCAGAACTCGTCAGCTCCTACCTGTACCTTGTTCGCCCAATACAAGTGAACCCGTATGACGGAGCACATCTGACAAGATCTATATGCCAATACTTGCGCAACTAGCTTACAGTACAACGCAGGATCGATGCAAACTGTGCTAATTGAGGCTGCGACCGGGCAGAGCTATCCTTGAGGGTGATAGTGCGTTCAAACTTGATGGAATTGTAAGCGCGTTTCGTGCTAAGGCAACTGTTGCACTTTCATTGGGGCATCAATTCGGGTGCTTTTACCGAGTATATCGGGTGCACCGTCTTCAAGCATGTACAGGCCGGATCTACGATCTACTGACTTACAAGCCTTTTCACTTTACAACTCGGCGTGGCGCTCCTATTTGCATTTCGGCGCCATTGATTTCTCAAGGCTTCTGTCGATTGAATAGTTCAAGCAGGTGGACCCTGTTCTGGTGATGGGCTATCAGCTGAAAGCATTGTATTGTAGTATTAGCCTTGGCTGTTGCGTTTCTTTGCTTCTTGCACAGCTCGATCCCAGCTCGTTCGCCAAATGAAGATGTTGTTGATTAGCGCGACAACGGCCAACCCAATGGCTGGTCCAGCCCAGAGACCGTGAAGCTCCCAGCCAAGACCAAAAGCGGTACCAAATGATATTGGTAGCCCAACGATGTAATACGCAAACAAGCTTACGTATCCACCAATCTCTTGTCGCCCTAGGCCGCGTAGTATACCATTGCAATTGGTAGCAATAGAATCAACTACAGTTGTGTCAGTTCCGAGATCGCTTAACCACATATGATCTGATAATCGACTTACAGAGTTGGAATGCCGCACATATCGGCAGTACACCGGCGACAAGATCAATAACCTCTGGGTCTGACGTGAATAGCCTCGGAATGTACGCCTTCAGACTGCTTAACAAGGTTGTATTCAGTACTCCCACGAAGACAGCAGCTACCATGGCGACTTTTGCAGCCATCCTTGCAGGCTCTGCAAGTGTTGCACCAATAAGATTGGCTATACGTGTACTGGCGGCGATGCTCATCGGGAATGGGATTTGAAAGGTGAGTGCTGCGACTGTGCTGAGGATGCTTTGCGCAGCTAGATGGCTCGTAGAGAACCAACTCGCAGACAGAGTTAGTATTTCGAAGGCCAAGAATTCCGCGAGAACCATGACTAATCCCGGTAGAGCAAGCTTGATCATCGGCCACCAATTTCGAAAGGCACGCTTAGAGAACCCTCCCCAGCATTCCATGCCGTGGACGAAATAAACGTAGATGAAGAGACAGAGAGGGAGGAGGTTCTCGGTGACAGCGACAGCAATTGGCGCCCCAACGAAACCCCACCCGAACACCTAGGTATCAATTAGCAAATGTGTGTGAATACATGTCTGTGACTAAACCAACCCAGACGAATAAGTAATTCATCAAAGCATTCGTGGGTGCACAAATGAGTAAAACATATGTTGTGGCTGAGAATAACCCTTGCGCCTGTACATAACGCTTTCCACTCTCAAATGCTGCATAGCCGGGGGCTCCGATCAAAAGAATCTTGAGATACAGTCCAGCGAGGCGTGCGGTTTCCTTCTCTGGTACTATAGCTTCGAGAATCTGTGTACCGAGAAGCCATATTATCGCGATTGGGATTGTGATTGTCCAAAGAAAATACACCATGCGCTGTAGCTGCAAGCCAACTAACTTTTTGTGACCAGAACCATACGCCTGAGCAGCCAGGGTATCTAAGCTAGTCGCGAGCCTAGGTATGTGAGAATTATTTTGCAAATCGAATTGTGAACTTACCCTTGGTACACGGCGTAGCCGGTAATGTTAGCGGTCATACTGGCGAGTGACACAGCGCCAAGCTCTACCTTCCCGATGTGGCCAACTGTGAAAATGCTCGCGACAGTCAGCGAGTATTGCAGTAGGAACGTGAGAATCAGCGATCTCGAATATCTCGCCAGGACCTTAGACTCCCTCTGCCACGTCGTCTGAATCTTGCCTGCAAGTACCGCACTCTCCCAAGTCCGGTCGATCAAGCTGGGATTGTCGATACCTCCATAGGGTCTTGAAGGGTCACCAATCAGTGGTGTATCTTCGTTCACTGCTCTGTTTAGGTACTCGTGCTCGGCTCGTCTACTTTCCTCATCTGGAACACTCTGCACCTTCCTCAGACGACCAAAGGACAGTTGTGATTTGAGCTTTTGTGCCATAGTACTATCGCTGGATCGTCTGGGATGTTTTGGTGGTATTATATTGTTGTCCCTAAGCAGACTTCTTTCTTCATTCCTCGCTACTTCTCTCTCTGCTTTCGATAGATGTACATGTTCGAGCTTGTTCGCGGTAATAGTAGAGCGGGGGCCTGTCGCGATATAACTAGGTCGTCGATACGATTCGGCCAAACAATGCCCCAGCGGTTGGTTGATGGAGTCTGTATCAGAATCTCCGTCCCCATCAAGGTCCCCTGTATCATACTGGTCGGAGATGTCCTGTGCTATGCTAGCTGCAGCAATTGGCGATGAGGAGAGATAGGTGTGTAGCTGGGAAGTGTGTGAAGCACTGTTGCCGCGCGCACGAACAGGAGGTGGCTCTGACATGGTGACTTGTGGCATGGACCTCGTCAATCAATGGCTATGGTGGTTCGAGAGACGAAAGAGTGATTGTGTCGAGGGCAATAAGCTCGTGAAGTGACTCCGACTGAGTGGAATCCATTTAGACGATGGATCGGGTATCGTGGTGCGGTTATAGTGCGGTGGAGCTACCAGGGAATGGTCTGTTGGTGGGGCTGGACTAGGACGGGATGATGTAGGATGAGGTGGTTCAGGCTGGCTGCAAAGATAAATCGACTTCCAACGAAGGTATATGTATATATTTATATATGAGCCGGGTATAATGATGCTAATATTATGGATGCTGCGCTGGGGTTTCGTGCGGGGCTGTGGGAGGCACAGGTAATTATCCATGAATGGATCCTGGGCCCGTACCATTCATAGCTAATAGGTTATCCGATTGTCCAGGGAAGCAACCTCAAACAACGCCGTGGAGGTCAGTCACAGGAGTTTCTCCATCTATTCACATTGTCTCATGATGGTTGGGTTCTAGCTCACGCAACGACGACGACGGAACCCTTGTTACCGTTACGCCCATGCTGACAGTCCCACTAGTGACTTTTTCAGTGTCCTTGTTCGGTAAAGGCTCATTCTGAATCATAATGTTTAATCCCAGTGGCGAAGTACTACACCCTCGATTCCTGGCTCGAATCTCGGATACTGTACAATGGCTCAAATAATGATAGGGGCTCTGTGCCGATCAGAGATGCAGGTGAAGATGCTGTATTTAAGAGATAGTAGCGCTCATTCCTGTTTCATTCGTTATATCTCTCGATTTTTAATTCTCGCCAGTCACGTGACCCATCATGATCGCGTCAACATCAACTATTGTTGCTACATGCCAACAGACGAGGTTTCATCTCCTAGCAGACAGAAGATCATCCGAGGTATGTTCAACGAAATGGGTACTATACTCATCTGCTGAAGCGCACAGGTGGCCATACAGAAGCTCAACCTTTCCATTATCCCAAAATGCGCCTCTGTTGGGACTCGTGCCAAGACTGCGAAAATCAAGGACAAATCGGCCCCGGCTCTTGACATATTGGTTGATGCAGACTTGAAATTAAAATCCGGAGTCCACTATGGTCTTTTGGGTCGCAATGGAACCGGCAAATCCACTTTGCTGCACGCAATGGCTGCAAAGCTTATCCCAGGGTTATCTTCCGCCACGAAGATAGCTTTGCTACAACAATATGTGTCGGACAGGCAGACGAAATCAGGGCCATCCGCACGGATCACTTTTAATGGATCCACAGGCCCATCCATGCAGCACAACGCCTTAGAATACGTGATCCAGAGCAATACGACCAAGATCGATATCGAATCGAAGCTAGACACGCTCCGGGCTGCGGAGGAAGGGCTAGACGAGCGGTCCCAGCTCAAAGCATATCATATGCTACGCTATCACGAACTGCAAGCTGCTCTTACAGAATCACGTAAGAATGCTACTCTTAGGAGTGGCTCTCGAGGCTCGGAAGCTCGAAAGGAACTTCTCGCTCTGGAAAAGACTGTCGCAGAATATGGTAAGGAGATTGATTCTGAAGAACCATCCCTTCACTCAGTCGAATGCCAGCATGAACTCGAAAAAGCGGCCGAGAGAATAGCAGAACTTCAATCCCAGCTTGACGAGATAAAGACTGCTGATATTGATAGCAAAGCGCTCGATATGTTAACTGCACTCGGGTTTTCCAACAAGGAACTTCAGACTCCGGTCGTGAACCTATCGGGTGGGTGGCAAATGCGATGCCTTCTGGCCAGCGTGCTCCTCCAGGACGCTGATATCATAATTCTGGATGAACCAACTAACTTCCTGGATATGCTTGGTATCATCTGGTTACAAAGGTATTTGATCAGTATACGGTTTCGGTCAACGCGTACGTTTGTGATTGTATCGCATGATCGAGATTTTATGGATAGCATATGTGAAGAGGTGATTGTCCTCAAGGATCAATCTCTACTATACTTCGATGGTAATATAACCGAGTACGAACATGATCTTAGGTCGAGGAGAAAGTATCTCACGTCCATGAATGATGCCCAGGATCGCCAGAAAGCGCACATGTCGAAGACAATTTCTCAAAACATAAGAGCCGGAAAAAAGTCTGGTGATGACAATAAACTACGACAGGCGGCTTCACGGCAGAAGCGACTCGATGAGAGATCTGGTATGCAAGTCAATGCTAAAGGTGGTCGGTTCAAGTTGAATCGTGATCTTGCGGGTATGTATTCCATGTGTGAGGATGTATCACGATACTCAGCATGTTACTAGGATACCATCTAAGCAATCGACGAGAAATCGATATCCCGCCGGAAGAAAGGACAACGAGCATATTACTACCTCAACCACGTGAACTTCGGTTTCCTGGGCCACTGGTGTCCCTTCAGAATGTTTCATTCTCTTACACGTCGAACAAAGATTTCATTCTTCGTGATATTAACCTCAATATACATATCGGTTCACGTACTGGAGTAATAGGCCTCAATGGTTCGGGTAAAACCACCCTGATTCGACTCATTACAAATCGAATCAAGCCAAAATCAGGCACAAGCACTTACCATCCTCGCCTCAAGATCGGACACTACTCCCAGCCCATAGTTGAAGAGCTACGTGCTGAAGGACAGAATTGCCCCGAGCTGACGTCACTCGCGAAACTGGCATCTGTGTCTGCCGAGGTAATGGATGAAAGTGATATGCGTGCACTGCTTGGTTCGTTCGGATTGCCTGGGCGTCTTGCCTCTGAGGTCCCCGTTGCAAATCTGTCTGGAGGGCAACTGGTAATACGTCATGACTTTTCTGTGATCTGCACAGGCTGATCAGTCCATTAGGTGCGACTTGCCCTTGCATGCATCGTTTGGGACCATCCACATTTACTGGTCCTAGATGAAGTTACAACTCATCTGGATCTTTATACAGTCAAAGCTTTAAGCAAAGCACTACAGTCTTTCAGTGGCGCGGTGATACTAGTCACTCACGATCGTTTTATGATGAAAGCGGTGATTGAAGGTGACAAATCCCTAGGCTCGAGTGATATTGATGACATGTCCAGCGACGATGAGGGAAAACCGCGAACAGCTCGTGCTACTTATGCCCTCAAGAATGCAAATTTGATGATACAAGAGTCTGGGGTCTGGCAATTTGAGCAGAGCCTAGGACCGCGACTAGATAAGCTATTCGTGTAATATGTTAAATAAGTCCAGAAATATAACCTTAAAAGTATTATATATACAGACGATACATATTATAAGTCCCTAGTACTAAGCAGCAGCTATTATATAGTACCAGGTAGCAGCATATAGCACCAGGCAGCAGCTCCATCGCTTGAACAGTAAGTACCATTGATAAAGGACCTCAAGAAACTCTACCACCTAACCACCAGGTCAGGATTAGTGAAGCGCTGTGCTGCGAACCATTCTCGTAAGCACGACAAAATAGCGAGGGTAGGGTAGACCGATGATTTGAATTCGCGAATTGGAATAGGAATAACGGTCATTATAGTTCAAGCTCTAGACCTTATGTACTAGGCCATTTAAATTTAAAAATACTTGTATTTGCTCATTTTCAGATGAGTAGTTCTTCTAGTAACGCTTGTCCGTGTGGTTTTAGATCCGGAAATTTGGAAATCGAGTAGAAATCAAGCCAAAACCCGCGTGCATCTTCGTGTGGTGCCATATGTTTGCGTAAGATCGTCTTCCATTCTTTGTCTTCCGATCCAAGACCAATTCCAGCGGCAGTATATTCCCACCATACGGGGAAGTACCCACTTGCCTCCCAATCCAAAATACCTGTGAGATTGCCGTTCTCCACCATGATGTTACCACTGTTTAAGTCCCCATGAGTAAAAGTGAAAGGGCCTGTAGAAGGCATTCGTTGTCGCAAACGCTGACAAGCCTTCTCGGGTACTCCTCTCAGAGCTTTTTTTAATTCAGCCCAGAGGTCATCATCGGAGGCGAAGGGGCCATGAGGGATGCCATAGTCGGGTGGAAAGAGGAAAGCCGAGTATAGCGGCTTCATATCCACACTCGCCAAGTGATGGGAATGGAGCTGCCGAAGCTGTTGGAGAGACTCGGCTGTTTGTACTGCGATACGTTCTTTGTCATCTCTTGAGAGCTTGCTCCACATTGCTTGTAACGTAGTCCCAGGGACGCGATGCATGACTGTAAAATGTCGTCCATTGCTTTCAGTCCATTCTTCAACGATGCTAGGCACCGGGATTGTAGTCTTCTCTTGTATTAGACGAATATTAGGAGCTTCATTATCCGGTGGCTGGTTTGATCTCTCCTTCAGGATCAATTTAGACCCTACGGACCAGACACCACGGTCGCTGACTCCGTAGACCAGCTTCACATGGCTCTCATAGCGACAAGAATGCTGACGTGTTGAAGACCAGCTACAGGCGCAGCAGGGAATGTCAGTACCTATACCGGTACTAGTCATCGAGACTTAAAGACAAGGGAACTGTATAGAAAGGGCATTCGGGAATCTCGCTGCAGCTAATCACAGTGTTCTAGGTCGTCCCTTGGTCCTACTAGGTTACGTCTATCCATTTGTCCATAGTTAGTTACATGAGAAAGCTTATACTAGGTCTAATCTATTCTTATATAAGATTCTTTTTAATATACTTCTAAAGAACTTATAGTTTAGGTTCTAAAAGAGAGTAGATAGATCTATATAGAGGTTATTAGCTCTCTTTAAGATTAATAGTAAGGTTAGTAGATTAGTATTAGAATAACTTAGAGAAGTTAATTAGTAATATAATATATTATAATAATAATAATAATAATAATAATAATAATAATATTAGTAAACTAGGTAGAGTACCACTCTATAGACGCATGCCTTCTCTAGTCTAAGCTACTATATAAGAAGAAACCTATAAATAGGAAAAACTCCCTTATATCTATAACTACGCTCTATCTATCCTCTCGTTCTTTATATATATATAGCCCTAGGGGCTATCTATAGGCCTATAGCCTATATTATAATAGTTTACCCTTAGGTAGCACGTATAGATACGGAGATTATTAGTTAAGGGCTACCCTTAACTAATAATCGCGGTTCTCCCGGGGTTCTTCCGATGTATACTAGGGTTCTTCTAGTATATATCGGGCTTCTTCCGGTATATATACGTAGGTCTACTAGAACTAGGGGAGAGGAAGGTATATAAGTATCTATCGGGCGATATTCTTAGAGTACTTATTAAGCTATCGCGTGATGTTAGAGGTCCTCGTTATATAGATAAGGGCTTATCTTAGGGTATAGAGACTAGAGTACGTCGCGAGGTAGTAGTATATTATACCTCTCCGGCCGTAGTCCTTATACTAGAGAGATATATCTAGGACGCCTCTCTAGTAGAGGTAATATAGGAGACCTATAGCGCCTATTTAGGCTTAGAGGAGTATAGATACTTAGGCCTTCGTTAGCCCTTTATATATCTATTTACTTAGTTTCTTCTAAGGCCCTTAGATCTATTCTAGATACCTATCCTATTAGAAGGCCTACTAGGCTTTAAGTACCTCTCTCTATTTATTCTAGATCTATAACTATATAACGCGGCTAAGCTTCTTAGGGCTCTATTAGCTTAGGATAGTATCCGGGTTATTTTAAACCTTCTATATAGTCTAGCTCGAGTCCGCCTCTATATAGTATTTATATTATACTCGAGTTTATTCTATAGTAGAGAGGGCCTAGTAATACGCGCGGATACGTGTACGTAGTATAGCGAAGGTATATACCCTATCTCCTCTATATTCTTATACTTATTATTTAGTAAAGTATATAAGTCTCTATATCTAGTAGAAGTCCTATATACTCGTTATATTTATCTCGCGTTAGAGGAGCGTCGTGTTAGTAGCTTTATATATACCGGAGATAAGGCGGAGTATACGGTTTTATATAGACTTAAGCTTTACCCGCCGAGCTTATATAAGGGCCGTATACTAGTACTTATATCTATATATAAAGGCTAGGCGTACTAGAGAGATATATAGCTATCTTGCCTTATCCCGGGCTATTCTCTACGTGGATACCGTAATCTAGTATATAGCGGTTTCTATCTAGAGGGCTCTAGAGACGGCGTGTACCACCTATAGTCTCTATTTTAGCTTATTATTAATTATAACGCTAAGTGCTCGTATACTCTATGCTAGTAGTTCTATAAAGGCGTCGATTTAGGGGCGACGTGCCCTCTCCCTAGTAGCCTATCCTCTATAGTAGTTAATAAAGTATATAAGCTAGTATTTTTTAGGTGCGAATTTTACTCCGTGGCGCTTTATCTACTAGACGTATTTCTCGTGGTCTCGTTTAAGTCGTGTATATATTCTACTAGTACTACTATCGACCGCGAGGAGGTATATATTATCCGTGTATCCAACTACCTCTATATATTCTATTCTCTAAAGGAGGTCTACTATAAAGAAGAGGAAGAGGATTAGAGAGATAGTACTCCCTTACGGGATGCCGTATACCGTCTCCTTATATTTACTTTGGTATCCGGGGATATATATTTAAGTAGTCCTTTACGTAAGGAAGGACTATATAAATTATATAATCTACTTAGGTATTCGCCTTATCCGGAGGTTATAGATAAGTCTTATATAGTTTACCTTATTAAACGCCCCTACTATATCTAGGGAGAGTAGCGTAACGACTTATCCTTATTTCTATATAGTCTAGATAACCTTAAGGATATATTAAATGGCCGTGATTAGAGAGCTTTCTACCTTCGCCTTCTAGTTTACTAGGAGAAGGCCGTGTACCTATACTACTATACTTATCTTCTTAGTAATCGTGGCTTCTAGTACCTTACTAAGGTAGGAGAGAAGGGCGATCGGCCTCTATCCCTTCGGCGTGTTTAGGCTCTTCCCTAGTTTTAGAAGTATAACCGTGTATATAGTTCGGAAGCTCTATAGGTAGTATCCTATACGGGCGCACGCTTAGAATATATGGCCTATAATTAGTAAGGTCGCCTATATGGTCCTCTTAAGGCATTAATTCGGAATTCTATCTAGCCCGGGCGCTTTATCATTCGGGAGTATCTTAATAGCGCCGAGTATATTATCGTCCGTGATTTCCCTAGGGATACTTACGGCTTCCGGGTATTCTATACCGTTAATATCTAATAGATCTACGGGTTCTAGGAGAGGGAATATAACCTCTTATAGGATCTCTATTTTCTCGAGGCTCGTGAAGTATATCTTTTCTTAATATATAAGGGGGGGTATAAGTGGTATAGGTGTCGGGAAGGCGGTACTTTTAGCCTATTTTACTATATACTATAGTCTAGTAGTATTACGTGTATATCTATCCGTGACTATATACTACTATTTATATCGCTTATTACGGAGGACCTTATCTTATTATCTTCTCGCCTCTCTCTATTCATCCTACGCTTTAGGTATACGGTTATAGTATACGCGTGTATATAATCTCCGGACTTCTCGCCTATACTCTTATACTTAAGGTATACTTTTCGGGTCTAGGGGTCTATATATTCGGTACGGCACGTGTTTATCTCTTACTCCCTAGTATGCCTATAGAAGTATATTCACGGCCTGGTTAATGGCCGGGCCATTAGATACGTCGACTATAGACGGGTCTAGGATCGTCGATTCTAGGTCCTTTAGGTACTTTTCCTAGTTAGTATCCTTCTATAGCTATCGCCCTTGTTAGTCTTAAGGGGTAGATATATCTATTACGGTCTCTATATATTCGTGGTCGGAGTCTATCTATATAAGGCTTAGACGGTAGTATTAAGTCCTATTATAAATATATCTAGTGGCTAGGGTAAGGTCGAGTATAGATCCGCCCTTATCTTATTTATGTTTTCGCTAGGTAATCTATTCTACTAGTATAAGAAGGTATAGAAAGCCGTGGTATCAGGTACATAGTTCTCTAGCTCGAAGCTCTTCGCGGGTAACGGTTAGTCTACCCTACTAGCTATAATAGAGATTAAAGTCTCCTAGGAGGATATATTATCCTAGCTCGGTAGTACCCTTAAGTATATCATCCACCTAAAGCGATCGGTTCTAATTATATATATTATATATATAGAGGGGTCTAATATTCGTCTAGAGGTATAGTATTATCCGGAGGTTATCCCGTTTAGTATATAACCATAATAAGAGTAGAATAGACTTATGGATATGGAAGAGGACTCTCCTCTCCGGTCCTAGGGGGTGTATTATATAATATCCTAGGTATGTTATTAGTTTATTCGTCTAGTAGTATTTATATAGCTCCTATATAGCGAGTATTATAGCTCCGGTCTCCTTAAGGAGTGTCGCCTAGTTCTTACGTTTATACTATATATTTACCTATATAATTAGGAGTGTATCTTAGTCTCTTATTAGGTGCTAGGGAATATATAGGCCTATATATTTATTTCTCTAAGACGCGACTATCCTCGTACGGCGGCGGCCTTAGTAATTCCTTAGGGCTATCCTATTATTAGCTTTCTCGGGATAGTTTACTATTTCTAACCGCTTCCTTATAAGGAGGTAGTCTATAGTAGTAGTATTATAGTAAAGAGAGGAATAGTAGTAGGTCGCATCGTTTATAGCTACCTTACTCCCTTTATCCGGATTAAGTAGATATATTTAGTAACCTATTTACGTTTCGCGCACGTAGCCGACTACGACAGGTACTTACCGTTATAGTTAGAGTACTTTGCCGTATCCCTATCCCTCTAGCCCTCTCCTCGTGTTCCGTAGGGGTACTTCTAGATACTATATTCTTATTAATACTATCTATACCTAGTCTTTTAGAAGTACCGCTATGCCGTATACCCGTATCCCTAATAGTTAAAGTACTATATTATCGCCTATGCTCTATCCCATAGTTCCGCTATAAGAAGCTCCCCTTCCGCTAGAAATCCCTCTTATATAATTTAATACGTGAGGGCGGGGTCCTTAAGCTCTACTATTATAGTAGAGTATGCCTTCGATCTAGTTTTAATCCCTTATATATTCTTCTACTATACTCTTATAATCTTAATCCCTAGGTATTTTCGCTTATTTAACTATTCTATCCGTATAATATCCTCTTCTCTAATAATCTATCCGCTTATAGATATAGAGTATATCTATATCGGGTATATAGCCGCTCTAATAGAGGCGCCTAGAAAGATACTACTAATCGCGTTCGGATCACGCGAGATAGTCTACTATACGATATTTATTATCGTGGTAAGTACTACTCCTCCTAGCGTGAGTTTAGCGGCGACGACGTTTAACTATATTCCCTTTTATTTATTAATCTTACTTACTATATCCTTTAGGGATACTTACTAGACCTATGCTAGGGTATCCTTATTCTAGATTGCGACACGTATACTATACGCTACGTCGCCGGTCTAGGGGGCCCGTAGTATAGCCTCCGGTGTTACTACTATTTATACCTATATACTAGGGCGCTTACCTTAAGTAAGTTCCTCCTAGATTCTACGTAGGCTAGCCTCTATTCGGTCGAGCCTACCCTCCGGTCCTTCTAGTTATATCTTCTTCTCCTCCTCCGTAATTCCCTTTAGATTCTAGATAAGGTTCTAGAATATATATAGGAGGGTCTTCTAGCCCTCTCCGGCTTCCTTCTCTATACGTACTATCTAATAGTTAATACGATCTAGGAGGGTTTCCCCTCTTAGGGTCCCCTTTATTCCGTCTATCTATAGCGGCGTGCACCTTTAGGTATGTTCTACGTTTTAGATAGATATATAGTTACCCTCGGTAATATCGCTATATAGCCTTTTCTATTATACCGGTGGGGGTATATCCGGTATATACCGGGGTATATTAGTACCTAAGGCCGCCATATTTATTAGTTAAGGGCTACCCTTAACTA